TCATATATATGTAAGCACAAATTCATGTCTTACCTTTGATCGGAATGACATGACATTAGTATAATCGTACGTGTTTATTCATGTGGTTTGTTCATTGTATAATTTAAACTTAAGTTGGAGAAAGTGATCGTCTTAAATTAGTAACTTAACACTAAGTCAATTTGGTATTTTACAAACGGATTATTGATTTATTATTATGAATAATCTACTCAATACTCAATCTAGGAAATGGATGGTATTTATCCTCTGAGATGGATGATTTGATCCTGAAGCGTCAATAGTCTACAACGACAACTTCATCAGCACATATTTCAGTGAATTATCAGGATTTCTCTCCTATTAACTAGCTGTTTGTTCGGTTGATCTAGAATTTGGTTGATTGTTGTCTGTTTGTGTAAGGCAGTCGTTTGTATGTTTGTTTCGACCGTTTTCACTTCTAATCTTAGAATTGTTTACCCTTTTCCTGATAAGTTGATAGATTGAGTCAATTTTGATACATCTATTGATTGATGAGTTACTAGTATATCTGCGTCCAAAAACGTTCTGTGTTTCCTTAATATTTCCTCTGTCCGGTATTTTGACATTTCACCAGTTGGAGTCATATCGATAGTTGTCCACATGCATTTATATGAGAGAAGCTATTTCTGTTATATTCCTAGCGAAGAACAGATGAACAGTACCTGATAGGAATTTTCTGTGGACTGTTATTATATATATATTCTTATTGCATAACTATTAAGTAACTAGATTATATATATTTCTCTTATTATAAGCATTCATTTGACCTATTGGCTACTGTTAAACGGTTTACTATTCTTAAGTTATTCCCAATTTATTAGTTACAGTCCCTGACATTCACAGCAACTTTCGTCTTGGTCTTGTCTAATAGTTTTTTTTACTTTATGGTATGACATGGTTTGATGTACTTGCATATGAACTGCATACGTATGAAGTACATAATTCACACAGTAGAGGCTGAGATTGTGTTCTGTGCTCAACGGGCAAGGGGAGGTAAGAAGAACCAATAAGGAGTCAGAGTTGACTCTAAGTTGCTCGTACTGGTTAAAGCGTCATTGGTTTGACAGAGTGCTAAGGTCATATAATTCGTGTACTAATTGGCGGTCTTGTCACGTGATGAATAACAGGGTAAAAATCATAACCGATAGCTGGAGTTAATGGAGTGGGTGGCAGCTTTCTCCTATCCAGTACTCACTTATCGAAATTTATTTTACAGATAATGTTTGGTTTGTTCCTGTTTGTCGTTATATTCTTTGTATTGAAACGGCTTCCGAAAACTACGACGGAGCCTCCGGAGGCCCTAAAGGAGACGAAGAGTTCCCATTCAATCAGGACGTGATGGAGCTTACTAGAATATTAACGTGGCACGTTACAATTGGACAGTAGCATAACTTGTCTCTTTGCGGATTGGTTGAATTATGATATTGGTATAACAAACGCTAATATCTATAAATACTCATGATTTTCTGTACATTTTGATTCTTACCCAACAAACACTTCTGCAGCTTCCTTCTGATTTTGCGACTGTGGGGTTCTATACGTTTCAGTGCCTTAGTTGTATACCGTATTCTGCGTTAATCAAGTGGCAAACTTAACACTTTGGTCTCATTAATAATAATTTTAAATATTTTGTGAGTTTGTGCGCAACATCTATTACTAATGGTCTTAATAATCTTTTCGTGATTAAGTCAAACCTTTACAGTGTTAATTAAAATGTGAGAAATACTTTTTATTTAGAAAAAAGAATAACGGCTTAATATGCGTCTCCGAATCAGTCCAGGACAATGATAATGATGAGCAATAGTTACTAATTCAGCTTTGCACTAACTTCGATTATGTGAAAATGTAGGAACAAGTATACCTTAGTGATCGTGGAGATTTCCGAATCGGGGATAAACGATCAATTCAGATATTGATGCCGTACAGAGAGAAAAATTGAAGTCAACAGACAGTGCCTCTATTCCATAAGCAGTCATCAAAACCGGGGATAAATTAATTGCAAATGATTTGATTGTTATTACTTCCAGACTTGTCTAGAATTTTTCTCATTTCTTCTTTTGTCTTCAAAATGACTACATTACAAAAATGAATGAGTTTAATGTACTGAACTAAAGAAACATTTCACGCCAAAATGCATTCGTCAACCTACATATATGTGTCGACATGCATGCATAGGGAAGAACAGTCGTGATTTGCAAGTAAGGGTGGTTGAATGAAGGCAATAATAACCACAAAAACAAATGAATTCTGATCGTTCAATAAAAGTACATGATAAATAACTTTCTTCCTCCATTGTTAGAATTTATTTATTTAAACATATAAATATTGGTACAAGGAAGCACCAGATAAATATGCGCCTCAAAAATCTCATTTGATTTATGTGACGGCTGTGGTACTGCCAAGGTGCCCAAACGGAAGCAAGTGGTTTTATTAGGGGGCCACACCCGGAGCCTTTTAACTGAATGTCTGATCCAGAAGACAGTGGAGCATCGTCAGGAGATGCGATCCCATGTAGCCGGTGACAAACGATCGGTTCATAATCTATTTTTCTCTCAGGATGCTGGAGCCCATGTGCACCATTGGTTTGGAATGAGGGTTTTCCCATTCCCCTAGGTGGACACCACATCCACCAACCCGGTTAAAGCACCAGACATTCAATTTCCGTCCTCTCAATTTCGTAAACAAAACCCGTGGTGCGAGAAGGTAGTGAGTAGGACTTCCCTGTCAGAGGCTATATACGCGTGGCCATATGAGTGCATTTGGAGAGGGAGAGTGAATTCTACCCACTCTCAGCCGTACCAGGGCATTTGGGGGCGTTATTTGTTTGAGATAATGCAGTCTAATAAAATCTACGTCTTAAAAGACTACAATGTATTACAATTAGTAATGGATTGATTACACATTCAATATTGTCAGAAAAACATATGAATTTAGTAATACCATAGTGTAACTGTGTATTACTGTAATGTGCATCAGTAGTATTTACTTTTCAGAGAAATATTTTAGGCTTAAAAACATCAACAATAAGTCCGAAAACATAAAACTAATTAGAAAGATGGAATCTGCAGATCAAAAACTACCTCTTTTGAACTGTTTGGTTGAAAACGAACGTAATGATTGTATAAAAACTAATATATCTCGAATGTGAACATGTGAAGGATGTAGATTACAAGTAAGCGCATACCCATTCCATCAAAGTGAAAGTGGCCACGATTTCGATAGACTTCAAAAACTTGTCACTGAACCAATTGACAAAGAAACTGAAGTGAATTTACTTATGCCCATTTTGATGACGAATAATTATCCTAGGGACTTTTTGTAAAGAATAATGAAGAAGATTAAAAGGACAAGAAAAAAGAGAAACTAAAAAAATGGGTTGACATGGTAGTGATCCTATATCGTAAAGGAACTTCAGAGGAGTCCCATGTCATCACAAAATAAGAGTATTCTTCCAAGCAAACAATACTCCAAACCCTAAACTAGTAAGAATCAAAAAGCAAATACAAAGCAAGGAACAACAACATTGTCTATATGAAATCAAATACAGTAACTGTAATACCCTATATGTGAGACATCAGTAGCAGCTGAATGTGAATGAACACAAACGTTTCTTATAGAATATTCCTTAATGTTCAAAAGACCTGAAAAAACACTAGAAAACAAGTCAACAACTGCACTGCATTCAATATAGTCAGGTCATACAACTGATTTCAACGGCACAAGAATCCTACAAAAAGGTTTCAGTTCGAAGAAATGGAGACTAACAGATGAAGCTTTCTACACACACGAAGAAATCCAAACAGTCTTAATACTGTATTTAATCTATAGGTGATTATGAAAACAAAAACGACTGTCCTCACTAGTTCTAATCAGTTCGGTTAACTGAATATATAATGAACAATCAACTTGATCACCATAATAACACACAGTTATTTTTGTTTACTTGTCGTTACTTTACGGATGTTTTGATATGTTTAATTCATAACACTTGACAGAGAAGTTTCGGAGGATGTAAAAACCTTTACATATCTGGGCAGCATCATCGATGAACACGGTGGATCAGATGCAGATGTGAGGGCGAGGATCGGCAAAGCAAGAGCAGCATATTTATGACTGAAGAACATCTGTAACTCAAAACAATTGTCAGCCAACACCAAGATCAGAATTTTCAATACAAATGTCAAGACATTTCTACTGTATGGGGCGGAGATGTGGAAAACTACGAAAAACACCATCAAGAAGATACAGGTGTTTATTAACAGTTGTCTACGCAAGATACTTCGAATATGTTGGTCAGACACTATCGGCAAGAAACTAGTGTGGGAGACAACAAACCAGATTCCAGCGGAGGAAGAAATCAGGAAGAAGCGCTGGAAGTGGGTAGGAGACACTTTAAGAAAATCACCCAATTGTGTCACAAGACAAGCCTTCACATGGAATCCTGAGGACCAAAGGAGAAGAAGACCAAAGAACACATTACGCCGAGAAATGGTGACAGACATGAGAAGAATGAACAAGAACTGGATAGAACTAGAAAAGAAGGCCCAGGACAGAGTGGGTTGGAGAATGCTGGTCGGCGGCCTATGCTCCATTGGGAGTAACAGGCGTAAGTAAGTTCAGTTATATCTTCTTGAAAATGTCTGAACCAAAATGCCAGAAGAAATGTTGAATCTATTTCATGTTCAATTATTGAGATTCTTACAAACATAAATTTTATCCTTTATTGTATCAAAGGGATATAAATCTAGAAATAAGTGCTCTGGCGCGAGACTGGTAGGTCCTGGGTTCGAATCTCGCGAGTGCGGGATCGTGGATGCGCACTGTGCTAAAGAGTCCCATAATAGGACGAAACGGCCGTCAAGCAGTGCTTCCAGGTTTTCCATGGTGGTCTAGCTTCAATTGACTCATGATTTCAACTATGAAAAATACTGAAATCTCCACAAAACCCCTTCTGAATAAAGTATATTAACCATGATAACATTGAGAAACAATTCATTTTGTATTCTTTTTAAAGTTGAACATACTTTACAAAGTAAAAATATTAAGCACAGTCTAAGAATTACTATAGTAACGGGGAAAAAGAAAGTAGCACAAATCGATGACAAAAAAGGTGAAGGCCAGAAGTTTGGAAAAGAATTTGAATAAGAAGAGAACCTAACTATTTACTCAATTCCAAGCTTATGAGATGGAATGTTTGTATGTATTGTTTTTCTTCTTCTTCTTCTTAAATATTACAACGAGTAATGCAAATGAAAAAGGATAAGCAAGTAGTGACAGAGAGACGGAGGGGGAGGGTAGATAAAAAACATAAATCATTACAAATACATGGAGAACAAAAGGTAACAATTATTTTAGATTTCTTGCTGTTTCACAGGAATTGACACAAATAAGGAAGTTGTTGAAGGATTTGCTTCCAGTTAACTTTTTTATGAATAGTAATTAATGTATTACATAATAGTAGTAAGAGAGCGAGAGAGATCGTTGTCATATCAAATGAATAACTATTTGCTAATATGCTTATTTGGTTTTTTTATCACAAACGATTTGATGACAATGATCATCTTCAACATCACTATGATCATTTTCTTCAAGATTATGTACACGCATATCAACAGGATTAACAGTATCGTAGACAATGACAGCATCCTTAAAACTTGTAACACTGTTCGGATTGTCAGTATTACTAAAACAACTATTATTATTACTACTACTACCAGTAATAGCGGTATGATTATCTTTATTATTACTAATATGTCCAGGATGCTTTTTGGTAGACTGTTGCTTGTGACATTTAGTGGATTTGATACAAGTTGTGGAAGACGATGACAAACCAGGAGTCGTACCGGCAGACTGAAAGAAAATGAAACAAAGTATTTAAAAAATTAAGAATACCAGCCACATAATTGCAAGTGATGTAAACTGGAGTTAGATTATACTTTAACATTTAAATGTTCATCAATTGTGCCAAATGTATCTGTGTTGGCTTGGACGACTGTGGGACGTAAAGAAACATGTCAAACTTCATTCAGTTCAATTTTTTCTGAACGATCGACTAAAGTGCCTGGTTAATTATTTTCTGCATTAGTAAATCAAATAATGAGTATAAAAATCATATGAATATATAAACTCCTTCCTCGTATCAAGGGAAGGGTATGTAACATAAAACTTTGACTAAGTGTACAATTGGCTTCATTCAATATCATCATTCATTGTATAATGTTGACATAACTGACAGGCCAGAGGGTCTGTAATTCGGGAACAGCTAGCAAAAAGGGCCAACTCGGTAGGATGAATTTCGAGTCACGGACCGTTCATAAAGAAGTTCGGACATCGGACAAAGAAAATAGGTGTGGAAAGTTATAATGTCGATAAAATAGAATAAAATAATGATAATAAAACTAATAAAAACGGAGGCAACAGTGATCGAGGATTCAAAGATGAAGTGTGATACAGAAACCTTGAGAGTATAGTGCACCGCCGAATTGAAAACAATGTAGGCAATTTCGAAATATATAGGTTTACCACTGACAAATGTGATAAGACAAGTCGTTCGGTAACCACTAGCAATCAGTGTCCGCAGGTACGGTATGTGCTTTGTACCTTCAAAGTGTAAAGTACTCCTACAAGACTGGCAGGATTCCAATCCTGTACTCACCCTGGGTGGTGAGCAGATTGAAGTAGTTGAGAAGTTCGTGTATCTAGGTAGCTGCATAAGTGCTGATGGTGGCGTGAGTGATGAGATCGATGCACGTATAGTGAAAGCCAAAGCTGCTTATGCCAATCTGGGCCACCTCTGGCGCCCAGAGGCGAAATCCTGACAAAATACATAAAGTGCACAGACTTTAGAAAAACAGTGAATAGCTGTGCTGACACACAACGATTTTCACTGTTGTCGAAAGTCTGTGCACTTTTGTCAGGATTTCGCCTAGTACTTCTCTGACAACCTGTCATGCTTTCCCATCTTTTCCTGTTCCAAATGTTGCTGCATTTACTTCCAACAAATTTCTCGACCATATACCTGTGCTACAACCCTGTTTCTTATCGACATTATAACTCTTTCTTCATCTATTTTTATGGCTGATATCCCAACACCTTTATAATTAGTCACAGAGAGGGCCTATGAACGGTGCGTGACGAGAGATTCATCCTATGAATTCGTTATCTTTTGCTTTATTTATTTATTTAAACACATAGATATTGGTACAAAGGGACACCGGATATATATGCGCCACACAAAACAATGAGAATGGGGAGAGAAAAGGGATAAGATACATATATGTAAAACAGAGTAATGATGGGGGAAACTGAAATGTACAACCAAAAGACTCTTTCAGTTAAGAAAGTTATAACCACTCTTTATGAAGAAAGTAAAAGAAGGTTACAGCAGGATCGCCACTGGCTTCTATTCTGAGCCATATCTGGTAATGTCTCTAGCTACTGCGTTGCACCATCTCTTAGACCCCAGCCAGGGAGTTGTGAAGGACCAACAGAAGCTAGCCATTTGTAGCTTTCTTTCATACCACGACACCATGTTATACACTGACCACCTCTCCACTTTTTCCAACCAGTCCCAGAGTCGGCAAATAATGCACGACGTGGAATTCTCTGGGACGACATTCGTAGAACATGTCCAAGCCACCGAAGTCGGTGTTTCAAGATGGTGACACCAATTGAATTATCGTCTCTGCACCCGAACACACGATGCCGAACCTCTGCATTACTAACATGGTGTTGCCACTGTATGTCAGTAATCCTTCGGAGACAACGATGATCGAACACGGGGAGTCGTCTGACATCCTCAACTCGGAGAGGCCAGGTTTCACAGGCATAGAGCAAAACTGCTCTCACCGACGCGTTGTAGATCCGACCTTTTACAGCCAGACTAACATCACGAAAGCGCCAGAGATGGCCCAGATTGGCATAAGCAGCTTTGGCTTTCACTATACGTGCATCGATCTCATCACTCACGCCACCATCAGCACTTATGCAGCTACCTAGATACACGAACTTCTCAACTACTTCAATCTGCTCACCACCCAGGGTGAGTACAGGATTGGAATCCTGCCAGTCTTGTAGGAGTACTTTACACTTTGAAGGTACAAAGCACATACCGTACCTGCGGACACTGATTGCTAGTGGTTACCGAACGACTTGTCTTATCACATTTGTCAGTGGTAAACCTATATATTTCGAAATTGCCTACATTGTTTTCAATTCGGCGGTGCACTATACTCTCAAGGTTTCTGTATCACACTTCATCTTTGAATCCTCGATCACTGTTGCCTCCGTTTTTATTAGTTTTATTATCATTATTTTATTCTATTTTATCGACATTATAACTTTCCACACCTATTTTCTTTGTCCGATATCACAATATCACCCTTTATCCGTCATCTCTCACCTACCATTTAGCTTTGAGATGCTATGTAGAGACAGTCGCATAATGTCTTCAGCTAATCAAGAAGTCAATACGATATCCAAACAGCTGTAGAAACAGTAATGTTTTTTATCACTTAATTAAACAAAAAGGTTAAGAAAGATCAGTGGAATTCGGTAGCATCTACTGAGTTGATAGATGCTTGAAAACTCATCGAGATTTGAAGAACGGTGAAGAGTGAGGACAGTGTGAAGTGATAATAAGTCTACTTAATGACCATAACCTGTGTTTGGCAGAGACAGCAAAAGGAACGTGCGAGACAGCGGCAAAACATAACACAAGACAAATATTCTGACCCATTAAGAAAATAGGCAATAACCACACAACTGTTAATAAGATTATATTCGAAAAAGATGAGACGGTAATACACTGTCGATCTAAGAGATTAGAAGGGTGAATAGAGAACTTCAGAGAGTACTTTGCTCAATCCACAGCAGATTGTGGTGGATTAATACCGGTAACCTTTAAGGATAGTGATCTCGTTCCGGTAGCTAGGTTAATTAAGATACTCGAGAGTTTCGGAATTGAAAGTTATCCCTAGTTATTCGTCTTGATTCCTGATTATCCCAGTTTATAAGAAAGGACTGAAGACCTCTAACGATAGCCACAAATGAGTCAGTTTGACTGACAGTGTATAAAATACTAACCAATATAATCACTCGTGAAAAGCAACCTTGGGAAAATCAAGGACGTTTCAGAACTGAATGTATGTGTATTGACCAAATAATCACTTTCGTTGGATTTTTGAACATTGGCATAATTATCGACATCCGAAAACAGTTGTATTTCTTGACCTTGAGACAGAATTCGACTCCGTTGACTAAGAGGCTAATGTGGAAATGTATGTCATTAAAAAGTGTGCTGAAGAAGTTCATAAACTTTGTGAATACTCTCTCCTTGAAAATATGAAGTATATCAATCACCTTTTTATGTATGCAATGGGTAATTAGATTGTAAAGTGTAAAACGTCGCCTGGCAAGAGTTGTTTCACTGTTTCTTTATAACTTCAAACTGAGTCAGTTGCTCTATTAGAGTTGGAAAGTTCATTAATTGAGAATAGAGATTAAAAAACTTCAACAACGCCAATTCTGAAAAATCAATTATCAAAAATACCTTAAATATGTCACAGTACTACGAAATCCTAAGCAATTTTTCACATAACTCTCCAATACTATCCCAAGGGAAATGAATGACTAGTAATAATTTATATACAAATGATGATCATTTGGAAACTTCACTGTGACCGAGTAGTTTGGACATTCAAAGTCCAATGTCATGAAATGAACTAAGTCAAATTTCAACCAATAAGTTCATATTGTGAATTTCACTCTACCTACTGAGACGGCAATGCAATATCATAAGCCTGCTCACAATAGATATGGCTGTTGTACCATTACACGGAAATACATGTAGTTCTAGAGTTGAGTCGAACTGGTGGTTTTATTAAACATCTGGAGTCGTCAGTCTCAAAACTCTTTCTCTGAAGACGTTCAGGGAAATTGGATAAAGCAGATTAACATAACAATAAAAATATTAATTATCATGGTAAAATTTACATCTAATATTGCAGTATACATACCATATAGATTAAACGAATTTGTTCAGCTGCCCATTTAGCTAACTGTCGATTTTTATCTGTACTAGACAGTGATGATGCTTGAGGCGGTGATACAGTGCTCAAACTACTGATATGTTGTTGTTTAGGTGACACTTGATTTATATTTAATCGACTACTCTGGTTACTATGATGATTGGCATTGACACCAAGATTATCATTAACAATACTTGAGTAAGTATTTCCGACAGATGGTCCATTGTGTAGTTTATTCTCTGTTGTTAACGGAAGTATCTTAATTGATTTTGATAGATGATTATCTAAAGCGGAGCATGTCTAAAAAGAGAACAGGAAGAAATAAAAACGGTTGGAAAAATGTTGAAAATCAAGGTGAACAGGAAAAAAAACAGAACACGTTCTTTTGTTTGACTACATCTATATGGCAAGGACTATCAATATATACATGACTGAGGAGTCCCATAATATGCCGTCCAGTGTTCCCAGGTTTTCCATGGTGATCTAGCTTCAATTGACTCATGCTTTCAACTATGAAAAATATACATGACCGTTGGAAACGCACAAAATAGTGAGAGTTGTTTATGGAAATAATGCATGAGGAAAACAGATCTTTTAAGGCTGATTTAACAATTCGTTAGGGGCCATGATCATAGACAGCTAAACTCAATATAAGGATATAGTTATTTATTTATTTAAACACATAAATATTGGTACAAGGAAGCACAAGATACATATGCACCGTACAAATCTGATTTGATTTATGTGAAGGCTGTGAGGGCTGCCCAGGTGCCAAAACCGAAGCAGGATGAGGACGTCCGCCAATCTCCTGTGTTTATGAAAACGCTGAATACAAGTGGTCTTTTTTGCCTGGATAGTTGATTATAAACTGAGTCTGGGAAAAATTCTCTGTGTAGAAAATTCTAGCAAAACGTGAAATGACAAAATAGGCTACAGAGTCTAATTTCTAGGACTGCTGAAAACATCGTCAGGGAAATTTATTTATTTATTTAAACACGTAAATATTGGTACAAGGAAGCACCAGATACATATGCGCCGCACAACTCTCCTTTGATTGGTGTGAGGGCTGAGATACTGCCCAGGTGCCCAAACTGAAGCAGGTCGTTAGGGAAATGATACAAATGTATTGTTATAAATGAGAAGCAGTTTGTTATCTATTCTACGAAGAAAAAATTATACTGCTGTACTAATTGGATCCAAGATGTATATAAACATAAAGCTTGGGGTAGATAGATCCAATGAACTGACTAATGACTATATCAGTGTACCTATAGTCTACAAAATTGAAATTAATTAGAGACTCAAATATTTTTCAATGAACAATCAGTCAGTCGAACGCAACATAGCACATGGCATGTATTTGTATCCGATCAAGTTATAAGACTCTATTGACACAGAAAGATGAGATTTTTAACGGAAATCCCACAACAGTAGAGGTAGTAATAGTACTAGCGGTGATAGAAAAGATTAGGCATTGAAGATACGACTCAAGAAGTAAGTATAAATACCAGGAAAAAAATTCATGAAGACCTTATAAAATTTTAGATTTGACAGAAGACCAAGATTGAATGCATCTGTACCATTGTGAACCATTGGTTACGATAATCACGCTGGACCCAATCACTTACATGGCTGTCTAAAAGTCAGTCTTCATGGACTGATTTCATTTCTTAGTTTAGACGAATCTAGCTTTTTTGCAATACACTCTTACACCAGATAACACCAACCGTGCAAATAGTCAGTAGATAGCGGCACACAATATTAGTATATTGTGTGCCGCTATCTATTTTGTCAGACACTAACTCATTAGGAGCGATGAGACTTCCAAGATAAGTGAAGTGATCGACTAATAAGGCATAAAAGACACAATCATCGACCTACTCCGCATGATATTGGTCAAAATCCGGAAGACAATGTATATTTAAATTGATTATCATATGGTGTATTTTAACAGTCATAAGTGGATTCTTTTATCAAAAGTCAGGACGTAACATAAAGAAGAGACAGTGACCACTGTAAGAATACGTCATGAAAGCAAATTAATAAGTAAAATGAGTTTAAGCTATAAAACGTGACCGGAGATTCATAGTAGGAGTCAGGCGTTTAGTACAAACACTTCAGAGGAAATAAATAAAAAGTCCCAAATCAGGCTTATTTGATTTAGCAGTGGGAGAGATAATCATCAACAAAGTATATAATACAGGCGAATTAGAGCAATAATTTCTTCATGATATTTAACTAACTATAACCTATTATGCGAACTCAATTCAATCAGAATATGATTAAAGCATTGTTTTCCAGCGATGGGATAAGTGTCCGTGAATTTGTAGCGCATCTGTTCTTTATGTGCTCATTAAAAGGCATTTGAAGGTACTATGTAGTTCATTTAATCAGCTAGTGGTGAATTTAAGAGCATAATTTTTTATTGAGAGTATCATTTCAAGATCTAATTTCCACTTTATTTGCGTTCTTCGTCCAGAAAGTCGAAATAGACCACAGTGGTGTGTTTACAGAAGACATATGTGGGTAGCTTTACGTAATTAAAATGAAGCCCAAAGTGAAAATTACACTTTTAAATACAATACTGATGAACTAAATGAACAGCGAAATGCTCAACAATGCTAGAAATCACATTTTTATTGAACATTGAAAAAGGATGGCTATCCTAACATGTTTCATCGGAATTTCATGAATTCCAGAGAAAAAAACTGGCTAGCTATTGTTAAAATTGAAAATAGCAACCATTTGCAAATTTCTGTAACAACCTACAGAGCTGGTCAGACCAAAACGTGGGACAAATCCATAAAGTCACTGACAATTGGACTGAACTATGTTGGTAGGTGTAGACTATCTGGTTGGGATTCGCGAGATGATGACAATCAATGGTTAGAGACCTTGAATGACCTGGCTCAAAATCGATTGCAATGGTGAAGGTGCATCCACTCTTTGTGTTAGCCCAAATTCTAATATTCTGAATTCTTCATGTCTCTATCCTTTTTCTCTTTCCAAATTTATTTCACTGGATTATACTTCTTCAACAACATCTTCAAACCCTAATCCTTCACATTAATGCTTATACTCTTACTATTTCTACCACTATGTGATTTGAATCGACAATTGCATCTCTGTGATAATGTGGTATGGCAACTTGAACTTATTTACGTACGTACGGTGTTCTACGTTGTAACTGACTGACCTCCACAGCTACTTGTACTGAAAATATAACATTAACGAAATAACATAGACTGAACATGATAAACTAATAGATCTGCCAAGTTACAAAGATTTGTTTACTTAGTTAATTTTGCTACGACGGACCACTTTTAGGTTTTATTTTTCACCTTGATTACTTTTGTGTATTATGTGGTAAGCGAATCATATTTATAGTTTGGTAAATCGATTGTTTTGTAGTGACCTGCATTTCTCGACGAGAACACGATTGGAATAATGGAAACAATTATTATTATAACCAATGGTACAGGGATTGTTTTATCGTACTCATTGTTCTTTAACTGTATCAAAGTCACTTTTCGTTCGGTCGTCCACCGTGTTCGCTCGAACTTTCTTACGCTCTGCCCTTATTGCCTGTACTTGTTGGCACGTCTCGGTATTCTTTCGATAACACGAGATCGCCAATAAATATACTCTATCTGAACCAGTTACAGTCTTCTGGTTTGCGAGTTATCAAAGGGACCAAGTCGTTTTTGGGCGCGTAATCTTATTGTAGTGGTGATCATAGTCAACCGCGACTCGACGCCATCTACAGTTCTATCATACTACGTTTTTTCTTTCAAAAAAGTGACATATCAAGTAAGGCTAGAGAGATCAGATGCTGTAAACGGGCGGCTAATGATGAATGACCAAACTATTCACCTAGACAGAAGTTCCATTAACATGTTCCCGACTGGGTTAGTTCGCCTTTTAGCAGTAAAGCTTCTTATGTAGTATTTGGTTTCTTCCTTTGTATAAATGAGTGGATCAGATGTCAGTGCATGTATTACCGATTGAATTAGACCGAAATAAACACAGCAGTACATAAAGTTGAAAAAAAGCAAACATCAAGACAACAAATACATCGAATAAAAAACTTCTCTACTTACAAGTAGAAGACCGTATAAACTACGAAGGTTATTAGGGCACAATAGACAAGCTTGACTATAATAAGCTCTGGCTAATTCTAAATTTTCTGTTCCACCTTCAGTGTATTTAATCTGAAGAGATAATGAAAAAAAAATCAAATGTATGAAATGAACTTGTTCAACACTATCTTTGATTAAGTTTAATTTGTTAGGTTTTATACAATCAGTTAGTCAGCTACAACGTAGGACCAGGCACACATATGCATCGGTCCCAGTTGTCATACCTCATTAGCACGACGAGATGAACAGAAATAGGGTAAATTGACATAAATCACAGAATTATTGAACAGTTATTTTTTGCTTCCAGTTGAAAATACAACAGTTAAATACATTTCCTATCTCGCATATATTAAATTCATTTTCATTACAATGCAAAAGTACACAAACCATTCAGATTGTTCCGTATGATGGTAGCGCAAAATCGTGAAATTGATTGAAGTTATATATTAACATCATCGGATCGCAGCTGAGTGGTATAGAGGTTAGGCGTTCGTGTGTGCGACCGGAGTTCATGTTTCGTGTACGAAATCGTAGATGCGCACTGCTGAAGAGTCCCATACTAGGACCAAACGGCTGCCTCATGTTCCCAGGTTCTCAATGATGGTCTAAGATTGATTGGTTCATGATCTCAGTGAAATACTTTTATTGCCACCAAGTAGCAAGTAGTACTAATCACAGAAGTGAACAATGTAAAAATAACTGAGATATATTCTGATTAAAAAACATTCCAATGAATTGGAATTCATTACCGAATACAAATAGCAGAAATCATTTGAAACTAATCCCTATCAAAGTCTGAATCTACGGAGTTATAGTTCTCTTAGAATCAGCTGAAAGCTGGGAGTAAAGGTAATAAATAACAATTTAACACTGAATGCACAACTAGCAATACGTTTTACCCTACAATATTTACTGGTAGTAAAGCTGTAAGAGCATAAATTCTAAACTAAATGACTTTACAGGCATGGTAAGCAAAGATGGATAGTGGCTATATCGAGGCAATACGCACAGTATGCACATATGCCAGTTAGAGACTGACCAGTTGTAGTCCTAACATATGGATGGAAAGATTCAATTAAGGAATAGTAAATGAATCTAAATGACATTAGTTTCATTTTCAGCCTCCAAACATTAATTTAAAAGTTACGACCCGGCCCCAACTAAACCAGTGTGAATGGGTGGATAATTTTAGAAATCCCTACACAGTTTGGAACCAAATTCCAGTGCACAAACCCGTACTTAGTAAATGAACACTACAAAAATATTACGTTTATACATGGTATTGGTAGATAAATCATACCATAAACTGACTCTAGCCAAACAACTACTGAAAATTAGAGGGAGCTGGGCAGCTGTTTCATGGTGGATTGGAACTCGTCAGCAGTACGCATGTACCACCCAGTCAGAGACCCAAACAACATTTAATCCTCGTGGCAAGCACCTTACCTATATATCAATGAGTTGGGATTCTCTGCCTTATTACCCAATGCCATCAGTGACAGTTGTTTCATTCTATGCTTCACTGACTCCCAACATTTACAACTTTTCACAAGATTATCAGGAATTCTTGTTCTGGTTACTAGTGAGCACATAATTTCTACCAATGTAAGGTATTTGTGCAGTTAAATATGTTCATGACAAACATAAAAAATGATGACCTCTAATTAAATAGTATAGTTACTAGCTTTCAAAAAAATAAACTAGTCATTTTTAAGATATCAGAGCAACCGGACACTTCAACGAACACACTGAAGTAACATTCTATAAAACGTAAAATATATTTTACATTAAAAGAGATCAGGAACATTTCTTTCGAAAAAGTAATGTGTCTAAGGTAAACTAACTAAAACAATAATAATGTTGTTTTTGTTATATCTTGTGATTGAGTGGATGTCCTGTTAACGTATGACGTGATAAAGCCGTCAATCAGAGAGCAGCGAATTATCGATTGTACCAGTGACACATGAAAACCGTACGAGCAGTCTAAAGTACGTATCGGTCCTGCTTTCTGCCTAGCACAGCCAGTTATGTCCAGAAAATCAATGACAGCCTGTGTGGTATGAATCCTTATATTTCAAATACACTGAGTTTATATACCACACAGACTGACCACATCGTACCATAAAATAGAAAATAACATTTGTACAAGATTTAGCCATATGTGTCTGTGAATGTTGCAGGCAGCAATTAATGGACTAGGGATAACTCAAGAATGGTAAATGGTATAATAATAGTCTATAAGTCAAAATAAAGCTTATAGTAAGGGGGACACGAATATGGATAGTTTAGTTATTTAGCAAATATACGATAAAAAATTATATGCATAATATTGGTCCATAAATGGATGCCAAAGTTACTATTCACTATTGTTATCGGGATATAACAGCTCTCAACAGATACTGTATCAACATACAAACCTGATATTTAAAATTGAAACTCTTAATTAGATCATTTAGTGTATTACAACATTTTTGTATAGAAATCTTTAACTGAACAAAATTTGTCAAGTTAAGAGAAATAATCGGGGTAGTGGAAAAATTTTGAAGTTAGAACTGAAGTGGAAACTCTTTGTAAGCGCTAGTTTGCACACGATCTCCTCATTTATGGCGAGTTCTCAATTCACACATGTATATTAATGAGTAATCGAAAGATCTCATTTATTCGTAGAAACGCACCTAAACATCACGTCACGTTGTGAAAAAATAATAATTAGACCTGAAATATGCAGCTAAAACTGACAACCAGAGAAACTTACCTCAGCATAACGTTGATAATAGAGATGATTAGAAGGATTAGACAATATCATTTCTTCCATACAAAACGCAGCGTGTTTATAATCACATTCTGATAGATAAAGGTCAGCTAATTCATTCCACGCTTCAAAATCGCTCATAAAACTATAAGCAAAAAAATAATAATTGAAATAACAAATCACTTTGTTTTCTTAAACATTATGTTTTAAGACTACTTAAATGAATTTAAGTAGACTAATAATTCGAAAGTATATTAAGTATAGATGCCCAGATAGCTCAAGTAGTACGATGCTTAAACCTATTGAAATGTTGATAAATCACAATTAATATAAATCCTTTTTGACATCCCACTTCAGTAGTTAAGCTCACAAGTTTATTTACAAACAATTGAATTTGCACGAGTTGAAATACAGAACACTATTCATTGTTTCTTATAGTGCAAATGGTGGTTATTACGTCGGATTATAAAATTGGTCATGATTTATTTATTCATAGACTTTTCCATTATAACGCTAATCATATAAGTATCAGAGTATGCGTTGACTAAGATTAAGTTACAAATATCCCGACTTTACCAACCATTTTTGCATTGGTTATTTGAATCTTCCCATTGATGTTAAGGACTAAAATTGATCAATCTCTAATTGGTACATGTGTATCCTGTGTGGGCTTCCTCGATATTGCCTCAAATCACAAGCATTATAAGCAAAGGTGAATAGTGGCTAAAAGTGAGATCCGGGACGTGCGTTCCATTTTAACTGGGACTCATCAGATGGATGTACTTGCATCCCACAGTTGATATTCACTCCTGGACACGAACCCAGTACCGTTAGCTTCAAACGCCACCGCGTTGTCCATTTACCTACTGAGTCCTAACAGCCACTAGTCAGGATTTATACACTCCTACTAATATATCTAGTTTAAAATTAACCAACTGATACGATTACAATTCTCTCAGGTCAATGCATTTTCTAGCTCATTTGAAAAGACAGGTATGAACATGAATCGGTTCTGGTATATATGTTTAAGTCTTACAGTTGATAACACATATTTACTGTCAATACGCAGAATGATTTCGTTTACAAAATGCTATAATGTATGGAGTCGGAAGTATTCTTAGTAAACACATACTTATTTAGTCAATTCAGATATCAGTTATATTATTATTATGACTATTCATAGTTCTATAACTTATTTATTTAAATACATAAATATTAGTACAAAGGAGCACCAGATAGATATGTGCCACACAAATCTCATTTGATTTGTGTGAGGGCTGTGATACTGCCTGGGTGCTCAAACCGAAGTAGGAGTTCTATCTTATTAGTTCCACAATAAGATTTAATGATTAAAGAATGTCACTGTGTAAACGAAAAAAAATAAATTAAACACAACATAGAGAAAACATGAACGTTCTTTTACAACAAGGATACAATTTAAATTAGGAGAGAAACAATCAGTTGTCATAACAATGAAATTTTGTTTGACGTCCTGGTGTTACATACTATAGGACTGATCCCTAGAAGTGTATACAATGGCGCAGGTGTATACACTCGTTATCTTCCCTTAAACCTTAAGATTAAAATTGCTTTATAACTTTCCTCCTTCCTATACTATATCCTTATATAAAACCTTTCTTCGCTATGTTACCACCATTAAATTAACTACTTCTATGAATCTGATGTTCATCTTGTTGTGCTAAAGAGGTATGGCAACTTGGACCGATGCCTATGTGTGCCTGGTCCTACGTTGTAGCTGACTGACAATGAAATTTATAGAATCTATTTATCTATTACATTATCAAACTTCTTCTTCTTCTTCATAGTATTACAATATTTGAAAGTGTACATTCAAGAATCATTTGATCAACCGTAAATTATGCTTAATACAACAGATCAATAAAGAATCCGTTATCATTATGACTGGATAATAAAGTTATTCACAGTTCAATTTTCATTTCATTAAAACAAAAGGAGTCTATTTAAAGTTTATGTACAAAGGTCACGACCAAAAACAGAACAATAACACTTTTTTATTGAATAGAGTACCCTTGAATAAACAAAACATAACTTGTGTTTTACTAAAGTATAAAATTTAAAGAAAAAAAAACAGTCTGTCTTAACTGAATTATGCAATTGAACAATTGAGTTTATTTATTTATTTAGTTAAACACAAATATTGGTACAAAGGGGCACGAGATACATATGCGCCACACTAATCTTATTTGATTTGTGTGAGGGCTGTGATACTGCCCGGGTGCCCAGACTGAAGCAGGTGGTTTTCTTAGGGGGCCACACCCGGAGCCTTTGACCTAAAGGTCTGATCCACAAAGCAGTGGAACATCGTAAGGAGATGCAGTCTCATGATAGCTGGTGACCAACGATTGATCCATACGCCATTTGTCCCCTCAGGATTCTGGAGCCCATGTGCACCATTGGTTTGGAATCAGGGTTTTCCAACTCCCCTAGGTGGACTTTCCGTGTCCACCAACCCGGTTAAAACACCGGACATTCGGATTTCGTCCTCTCAATTTCGTAAACAACACTCCAGTGGCGAGAAGGCAATGAGTGGGACTTCCGTGAGAGTGATTGTATGAACGTGGCCATATGAAAGCATTTAGAGAGGGGGAGCTGACTCTCCCCACTCTCAGCCGTTTCAAAGCATTTGGGAGAATAACAACTATTCAAAAACTTTAACAATTCACTAATAACATTCAAAGAAACTTGATGATAATTATTATAAATCTACAATTATCAGTACTACATAGTAACCTGCGTCTTGAAAGTTTTTAAATCTCTTGTAAGTAGACAACTGAATATATTTGTGTAATTGACAATATGTAATATGATGTATCATTTAAATGTAACCAATGTATTACAATTTACATTCCCAACTTGGTAGAGCTCACATAAAATTATATTTCGTAATGAATTAAGAGGAAAAATAAGAAAAATTCGTTTGAAATCATTCAATATAACATAAAAATAAATTAATGATATTGCACAAACATCATCCATCGCCTAAAGTGAATAATTGCATCACCAGCTGTATAGTTGAACACCAACCGTCATGGATTCTCACTAGAATATCAGGAATGACACCTTAAAGCTAGTCATTAGTGAGCACACGATTATTGTTATTGTTATACGGCTTTGTGGATGCACACTGTTAAGGATTTCCATATCAGGACGAAACAGATGTCCAGTGCTTCTAGGTTTTTAATGGTAGTCTAGCTAAGATTAACTCGTGATTTGATAACTTTGAAAATTCTACAACCACCACAAAAACTTCCCTACATTGATCACAAAAACATAAATGTCAGTAAAACTAAACAGATTATTAGTTCCTATCACGAACCAACTGATGATAAAATCTATCGGCATTCAAATTCTTAGGTAAAAAATACTAACCATTCCTATAGTAGGAGGGAACGATTGCTCATCAGTTTATCACTAAATATGCGCCTCCAAACGCCCTGGTACGGCCGAGAGTGGGTAGAGTTCGCTCTCCCTCTTGAAAAGCTCTCACATGGCCTCGCGTGTATAGCCTCTGTCAGGGAATTCCTACTCACTGCCTTCTCGCACCCCGGGTGTTGCTTACGAAATTGAGAGGACGAAAAGCGAACGTACGGCGCTTTAACCGGGTTGGTGGAAACTGCGAGTCTACCTAGGGGAGTTGGGAAACCCTGATTCCAAACCAATGATGCACATGGGTTGGCTCCAGTATCCTGAGGGAACAAATGGCGTATGAACCAATCGTTGGTCACCGGTTACCATGGGACTGCATCTTCTCACAATGCTCCACTGCCTTGTGGATTAGACCTTCAGGTCAAAGGCTCCGGGTGTGGCCCCCTAAGAAAACCACCTGCTTCAGTCTGGGCACCCGGGCAGTATCTCAGCCCTCACACAAACCAAATAAGATTAGTGTAGCGCATATGTATCTGGTGCTTCCTTGTACCAATATTTATGTGTTTAAATAAAAAAATCAAAAACAACTATGCGTCAGTTATTAGTAAATGTGATTAACAAGCTAACATAGAAAAACACAGTTAATCTAAACGAAGAATATGTAAACTGAGTAAAATATCCAATTGATAATGAGACCATTTGCAATGTATCATTAGAGCGTTAAAAGAAACAACTGTTTCAGTGTTATTCTAATCAACAAAAACCACAGTATCGTTCCAATTTATAAGGGACAAAAATCCTCTTATGACAATCACTGAGGAATCATTTTTACTAAAATAGTATTTAAAATCTTAATTTCAATAATAATTTAATGTATAACAAGGGATTGTGAAGAGTAAACCTAAGAAAAACAGGTTGGTTACAAACCTAGATTTATACCAAATCTTTATCTTACAACAGGTCCTAGGACATATACATAGTTGTATTCCTTGACCTAAATTCACCATTCGAATTTGTTGGTCGAAAGGTTCAGTGACAGTGTCTTTGATTTAAAGATATGCCAAAGAAGTAAATTATCCTTGCATTGGTCATCTACTGGAACGCTAATAGCCGAGAGAGATATTATGGTGACCTATGATCAAGTGATTTTAGTCAAAGCTGTTCACTTTCTCTATTTTTACTTGAATTTGTGATCGACATTTTGTTAAAGATAATGATCTAATCGTCTGACTTTTCTTGAGTTGAGATTCACTTGTTGACTTAGAATACAATACGTAACACAGTCGTGTTTGGTGAAAACGTTGGAAAAATATGGTCCTTTGACCACCTTGGGCAACGACGTAAGGATGTCGGGAATGCACTTCTCTTCATGTAAATGCAAAATGTTGCCTGAAGACTGATTTGGATCAACACCTAAACTAATGATAGGAAATGAAGTAGTTGAAAGAATAAAGCATTTAATCTTGGTTGTCTCATTGCTGCTGATGGCTTGGTATCTGACAAAATATCGGCACGAATTCAAAAAGCTTCCTTCGCTCTTGACAACATGCATCACTTCTACCATAGACGAGATACCCGTTTTCAAACTAAACGACAAGTTTACTGTGCAACAGTTCACTCCGTTCTACTCCATGCATGTGAAACGTAACCCTGTAAAATAGAAGATGTACTTAGATTACTAGTATTCGAACATGGATATTTCCGAACGATTGCTCATATATTTTGAGACTTTTGAGATAGTGATTTTGAGGTTAGATGTAGAGTACTAGATAAGTATGACAAATCGATGAACTAGGTAGTGAATCTTTATTGACTGAGGTTATTAGGATAGTTAGTATATTGCTTGCGGCTATCTACTGACCATTTGGACGGTCGGTGTTATCTGGTGTAAGAGTTTAAGACTGACTTTTGAACTGAGCCTTTCGAATCGTTCACAATGGTGCAGATGCCTTCATTTACTGTCTTTCTTTAGAATATCAGTCCAGAACTCTACTTATATTTTTTTCATCCACTTAATCTTTTCCACTAGTACTATTGATACTGTTATTGGTTCTACTACTATTAGATTAGTCTTGAAATGATTTAACTCGCTTTGGTAATCTGGTATGTTCCATATGACGCAATCATTAATATGTAAATACATATACATTATGTTAGAACTTACATTTTTAAATATTCTCTTAATTCATTAATTGCTTCGGGTATTTTCTGTTGAGCTATTAAAATTGTAATCATTCGTTTACGGGCCAACTAAGTGAAATTAACCGAAAATTTCAACAACAAAAAATGTACATTTAATAATAATGATAATAATATTATTATAGACAGAGTTGAAGGCAGATACACACACACACATAGATTTGAAGTCTACTTCGGATACCACCCGTCACAACACCTCATATTATCGAAATTACGATAAGTCTGACTTAGTATACAAATTGTCATGAATACAATCATACGACATAATGTAACAATGATATCTACCTGATTTATCTATTACTTTAAATGCCTAACCACCGACTGCCCCGACGTGCAATGTTTTATGGTGTAGGAGTAGGGTGGAAGAAAGTTAGGGGCGACCAGACCAAAACATGGCACAAATCCATGAAGTCGCTGACAATAGGACTGAACCATGTTGGTAGGTGTAGACTATCTGGTTGGGATCCGCGAGATCATAGCAATCTATAGTTAGAGACCTTGAATGACCTGGCTCAAAATCGATTGCAATGGTGAAGGTGCATTCACTCTTTGTGTTAGCCCAAATTCTAATATTCTGAATTCTTCATGTCTCTATCCTTTTTCTCTTTCCAAATTTATTTCACTGGATTATACTGCTTGGATAACATTTTCAGCCCCTAATCTTTCTAATTACTGCTTATACTCTTACTACTTCTACCACTATGGGATTTGGATCGACAATTGCATCTCTGTGCTAATGTGGTATGGCAACTCGAACTGATGTACGTACGTACGAAGTTCTACGTTGCGACCGACTGACTGATTACCTTGAATATAACCGTGATACCCTGTCAACTAAGTTTAAATATACTTAATTCATTGCTGAAGTGAATTGAGAAAAGACAAACTGATGATGACTGAAAAGTGAACAATCCAGAAACAGATTTTATAGTAGATGAGAAAACAACATGATTCTGATTCATCGTATGAAGTTGCATATGGTCAATGAGTTATCATTTTTGAGATAATATTTAAATGAGAGGAACATCTACGAGCATAGAACCTAGTATCAGTTCTCAATCTAATATGAACCATTGCGGTTATTGCTTACAGTCATTGGTTTCCAACTAATACGTCTCACATTAAAATCCCACATTATCTACTTTCGATTAAAGTTGATCCGATATTAGAAGTATTAGTAGTCCACACACATTAAAAATGCACCACAAGAAACAGTACGAAATCGTGTACTGGGTAAATGAATTACACAGCTATATTGGTAATTCAGTGATTTTGTTTGTTTGGTCATTAAGGTTCATTCCTTGTATACAACATCACTTTGTAGCATTGTTTATCGATGAATAATGCACATCAAACCCATTTATTCTGTATCAATGAAACTCAAATTTTATAATTCAAATTACCAGCTCACTTATTCTTCACCCAAGAATATAAAACAAATTCATGTATCTAGAATTCTGAAACATTAAGCCACGACTCAGGCACAACCCACCGCAACATCTCAATCAAGTCATCTAGATCAGACTAGGCTGTGGTCGGATTATTAGGACGGAGCCGCTAACTAGCAACCCGCACTGATATACGGGTTTACATGCCGGCAGGCACTTGCCCAATCCACGACTTAATGTGCGCTTTAGTTTGGGCACCTGGGCAGAATCACAGCCTTCACACAAATCAAATGAGATTTGTGCAGCGCATATGTATCTGGTGCCTCCTTGTACCAATATTTATGTGCTTAAATAAATAAATAATTTGAATCATATTGATCAACGATGATAATTAACTTATTAGAGTTTTTGCGAGACTATTATTTAGGGACGAACCAAACAGACATAAGATAACAGGCCTCGGATTTCGGCACGAAGTTCATTCATCTATTTGGCTAAATAGCGTTTTTGGCATTTTAGCTTATGTCAGTTCGTGATGGAAACCTTAAATCTAATTCCTAACCCTCACCATCAACTGTAAATCATAATTCTAATTCCCCACATTGGTTTATAACCGTCATTTAGTCCTAGTTGGACATCCTCAAGGTCACTTAAGTGTTTCACAAAGGTCATCCACAAATTATCGACTCACCAAAGTTTCTAGCAATAATATTTTAAACATTAAGCAATACAAATATGATCATTGAATGAACGATCATTGGTTGATTTCGATTCCTTAATTGGAAGTTAATAAAACCTGAATATCTTGTTTCATTTTCCTTAAAAGTTTAGGGTATTGATATAACGGATGGTTTAAAGTATTTCTCTTTCTATCTTTCTTGAGTATAACTATTATGACATGTTAATACGATTTATGACCAAAAATAGAGAACCAGATTACCACTAAATACTACTTTAGTCAACACAGTTACAAGGAGTCACACTCCGTGAGTCCGGAGTAGAAATCACATTTAGTAGATAGTAGGCTAAGCGCATGTTTGTTTACGATCAGTGATCATTCATATTTCACTTTCACTACCATACATCAAGGATCCATCAATAATCAGTTACAAAATACAATGAATCTGAACGTTCTGCGCATTTTAGTCTTTAGCTTTACATTTCATATGATTCAAGTTGGTGACAGAAACTATCAGTTCCATTAGGTGAATGCAGTTTAAAAAATAATACATTCATGTAGACTAATTAAGTTGCGGCTCACAATAAACAATGCTGTGAAACTAGAAAGTTAAAATAATTTCAATACTACAAATGTTCTACCATATGTATATGGAGAACTTAACATCCACAAATACTACTTACTGTATTGGTTGGATCATCTTTTATGAGTTTTGAGTACACATTCTGAGCATCTTCGAAGCTTTTGTAAACAAAAAAGAACATATTGACACAACCAGGTAAAACGGTATCTTAACAAATAAAAACATTTTAATATCATTATACAACATCATAATCAGTTACAAGCCATGTAGCGTCAAGTATCATCTCATTTTAGGACAACCATCCTTCTTTCGATGTTCAGTAAAAGTAAGATATCTATCATTTTCAAGTATCTTTCGGTTCATTCAGTGGGTGAGTACTGGATATAAGAGCATAATTTTCATTAGGGATTTCATTCATATCATCTAAAGCTATCAACATATTTCTTTTATGAACACCGCATCTTAAGTTGCCGGATGAAAGAGTAAGTAAACTGAAAATTTGAGCTTAAAATGAAATCTTCAGTGAAAGTTATGCTCCTACACACAGCACTCAAATATTAATCGGATGGGGAAGTACTCTGGAATGCTTAATATTACATACATTTGTTGTCCTGTGGCTCATCAAATATCATATGACAAGATCGCCAATCAGAATACCGACTTATATTGACTTTGCTTCAACAGCAACCAAGAGGTGGATGCTAACAGATTATATTGTACTGTTTGTCTAGATTATTATATCTATAATCAAATCATAACCAATTCAGATGACTAGAAAAGAAAGCCACATTTTGCAATGCTACAGATTTATTATGAAATCAGCTGTAAATCTTGAACAATCAAATCATAATACATAGTTAAGAGCGATAGTTCAAGAAATCGAAATGCTAATATCCAGACTAAAATCTTTAAAACAAGCAGATACTAGAAGAATTTAGGGATGAAAGATAATATAATAGAGATATAATGGTTATCAGATTGCAGACTTTGAGTGATATGGCTCAGAATCGATCACAATGGTGTAGGTGTATACACTCTTTATCTTCCCTTAAAACTTGAGATTAAAATTACTTCAGAATTTTCTTCCTTCCTATACTATATCCTGATATACAACCTATCTTTTATATATTACCACCACTACATTAACTACTTCTATGAATCCGGTGTTGATCTTGTTGTGCTAACGAGGTATGGCAACTTGAACCGGTGCATATATGTGCCTGGTCTTACGTTGTAGCTAACTGACTGACTGAGTGGATAACGCGATGGCGTTTGAAGCGAGGGTACTGGGTTCGAGTCCCACAGTGAACATCAACTCTGAGATGCAGGTACATCCAGCTGACGAGTCCCAAATAGGACGAAACGCGCGTCCTGGATTCCACTGCTAGCCACTATCCATCTCTGCTAACCATGCTTGTGAATTAAGGTATATCGAGGCAATACGCACAGTATGCACATATGCCAATTAGAGACTGACCAGTTGCAGTTCGAACAAATCGATGGGAAGATTCAAACAAACAATACTAAGTTGAATTTGATAATCACTTTGTTTACTAAGAATGTGTCAAGAATTTATGTACTTCATCTACTCTAACCATAGAAGTTTACATGCTGAATCAGCTCAAATGGTACAATATTATAAATTCGTATTTTCCAATACTGTTGGTTTTGTGAGGCTTAGTGTTGATCAATGAAATTTACCTGCAATAACGATAAACAGCAAGAGATGTAAGAAAGTGGAAGTTTTACCCACAAATTACTAAAACTGTTGATTCTTAAAAGTAAAAGAAAAACAGGGTTATTTGTAATGTTGGCCCCCGAGAGTGGGGAGAGTCACCTCTCCCTCTCCAAATACTCTCACATGGCCACGCGAATATATAGCCTCTGACACGGAAGTCCTACTCACTGCCTTCTCGCACCCCGGGTGTTGCTTACGAAATTGAGAGGACGAAAAGCGAATGTCCGGAGCATTAACCGGGTTGGTGGACACGGCGAGTTCACTTAGGGGATTTGAAAAACCCTGATTCCAAACCAATGGTGCACATGGGTTGGCTCCAGTATCCTGAAGGAACAAATGGCGTATGAATCAATCGTTGGTCACCGGTTACCATGGGACTGCATCTTCTCACAATGCTCCACTGCCTTGTGGATTAGACCTTCAGGTCAAAGGCTCGGGGTGTGGCCCCCTAAGAAAACCACCTGCTTCAGTTTGGGCACATGGGCAGTATCTCACCCCTCACACAAATCAAATAAGATTTGTGTGGCGCATATGTATCTGGTGCTTCCTTGTGCCAATATTTATGTGTTTAAATAAATAAAAATAATGGTTAGTCAGGGGAAATATTTTTTCGCCATCGCAAAGTGTTGGGATGACCCTGCAATTTTCTCGCAAGCGACATGACAAGCTCATGGGTCATCAAGGAGCATTTCAACCAATCAGCGATTAAATAGAAATTATGTGAAGTTATGTTACTAAAATAACGAAAATGGAAAAGTCACATGTGGAGATCCTGATTGGCTGATTAATGCACTGCTACTATGTTTAGCAGTATTCTAGAATTTTCGGTAAAACTCAAGGACTCTTAAATTACTATAAAATCCCTATATTTTCTGTACATAAATGAACCCTATAGTAAAGTGCTTCCTCCACACTTTGTGCCTTTTCTCTGGTCTTCAATTCGGTGTATAGTTCTAGCTCGGGGGTACGAAACTAGTCTAGGGAAGCGAAAATAGCGTTCACAGTCGGCCAGATATAACACAAAGGTATAATGTATTACTCTTACATTCATATTACAGCGGATTTTTATTAACGAAACCATATGAGATGTATATAAACTTGCTGATTTCAAGTCTACTTTCCTGGAAGTGATAAGACTAGTAATTTAATTATGATATAATTAAGATCAGCCAACTATGAAAGACAAAATTGGCTACCCCATAAACAAGTGGTCCATTATCGATTAGAATTATATAAAAATACTTTTGTAGTTGAAAATCTCCTCAAAATTACTGCTCACAGAATACAGTAGCTGCCCCTCCCAAAAAAGCCTTCAAACTCATTGTCTCATACAAAATAAGAGAGCTGTATACAGAGTTATGGAAGAATGACAAACAATCTGTACGGAAAAAGGGAACAAACACATGGACACATAAATAAATAAGACGTGACAATCAAAATACAAAAAGGAATTATTGACCCACTTACTTTCCTTTACTTTCTAAGTACATACCAAAAAGACGATTAACACGACAACTATTACGAAATTTTGCCAAAAGACGATCAAGACATTCCTGTAAATGTGTACATTAACAAGAAGACATATATTTTAGACATATTCTAATTGATACACAATGACTCCAAGTAAATTTAAAGGTAATCTACAAAACACAACTGTCCTTAATCACCGATTAGTAAATGAATATTGAATAAGATATTAAGAAAACCACGTACTTCAGTATTAGCATCCAGGAAGTATCCTAACTCACCCCCGAAATATGATAATTATCAAGAAAATGTTTTACAAAGCTTTATCTTCACATTTTGTTTTTAAAATAACACAGTAGTTCGCTTCCGTAAAACGTTCTGTCCTATCCAAACGGTTCCAGGTGGCTGGATGATCGATTCCATGAGTGACATCACCAAATATGAAATGTGAAAACAGCTTTCCTAAAGTAATCCGTGAGAACTGAACTTGGCTCCTTCCACGTTAGCACTTTGGTGAGAATCGGACAGTTTTGACTGTTTATTCGGAAATTCTTAATATAGACTTTTGCTGTTTCTCTGATACTCGTATTCGAGAATCTAGCGAGGCACCACAAGTTCGTCCTCCATCTGTCAACGTTTGCTTCATGTTAGCCTATTAGGGGACTGTAGTATTTGTACCCGATTTAGTTAGTACTACGTTAAAAAGCAGAGGTGGCTTTAATAGACCGATTGCCCACTTACAGCCATGCACTTAGCCTCACTAAACCGATACAGAGAGGTTATGCAACATACTCTTCAAGTATCTGGAGACGCAGCAGAAACTTTTCTTTGTTATACCAGTATAGACATATCACTAACTTTTAAGGCAGAATAAGCACTTTTTGAATGCATTCCTGTTGACGGTCGCTGATGTGTTGTGTCTTAATGGTACAGTAAGATATGGGAAAGATAAGAACACAAACTGTTGTCTCTTTGTCGTTTTTCGCCTATGCCGCCGAAAACTGTAGTTCCGATGAAGTGAAAGATGAGTTCCACAAGCTTTCTGACACCCTTCAGAAAGCCAGGCACGTAGACGTATTAACCGTGCCAGGTGATTTTAACACCTAAGTAGGTAGACTAAGTCAAACTGGAAAGTACTTAGATGGGTCTTACGGAGTTCCAGCCCAACAAACAAAAAGTGGTGACCGTCTACTGGCAAGTGCGAACTATAAGCATAAGGACAGACAATATGACTGAGCGACCCCGACATCAAATCAACGATGCACATAAATTAACCATGCTGCCATTAGCCATTGTTGTAAAGGATTTATGAAAAACTCTCGCCCCAAGGAGAGTAAATGAACAAGTGACAGAACGCATTTCTATGCTCTTTAATGATCATAGGAAAATCACAACAGGTAAATATTGATACAAAAGTGAGAAGTTCAACAATGAACTAAAGGAAGAAGTAGCTGAGCACTTAATCGATCTTAAAGCAAAATTCTATTCTCAGGAAGCTTGACATGATATTCAAACATCTGTAAATACAGGACTGATTTCTGTCATCAATAACAACAAAGATGTTAAAGATTATTTGGTTTCCGTAGAATCTACTGAATGGTTAGGTACTCGAAAACTCATCTCGGCAAGATCATAAAATGTTGAAGAAAAGACGAAAACTCAAACATACTTTATCAAAAATCGTACGTGGTGAGCGTAATTAGTAGAGGACAACGAAAGAGATGAAAAAGGAAGTGCCCATACAAAACACTAAACACTGATTCCGACTTGCTAATGGAATATGTATTAAAAATCGACTGCTAATGGGACTCTTTTAGAAAAAGACGGAACCAGAATTCTATCTCAGTACATACTATTAAAATACTGGGCAAAGCACTTTAAGGAATGGTTTAGCTATCCTCTAGCCACCCTTTAGTTATTCGTTATCTTCAAACAACCTAAATGGGAAATTAAAACAAATTCGTTAACCCTTGTTTTAAAAAGTAATATCTAACCTGGAAGAGAGAGCAATGGAACCTAATAGGGTGACTTTGGAAATTTTTACGGATGGTGATCTATTTCTAGCAGCTAAGTTTATCGAGATATTAGGCAGAGCTTGGGAGCTGCAAGCAATCCCAACTGACTGATCTTGATCCCGGTTTATAAGAAAGGACTGAAGCCGTCTCACGATAGCCACAGGTGAATTAGCTTGACAAACATAATGTCCAAAATACTAGCCACTATAATCGCCCAACGCTCATCTACTGCTCAAAAATAGCTTATTCCTGAAAACTAAGGCAATTTCAGATCTGCACGTGGGTGTATCGACTAAATATTCATATGTCATAGCCCTATTTAGTGGAAATGCTGACAAAATGAAGTCTTTTGACTGTCCTGAGAAACAATGTAAGCAAGTTTAAGATGGGTTTCCCTCCATCTAAAATGCGAAATAGTGCTTTATGACTAATTTGTATCAAAGCCTAAACTAATAACAAGGGGTAACATGGTCAAGTGTGGCCATTATTTCACTTATCTTGATAGTCTCATCACCCCTGGTGGTTTGGTCTCTAACAAAATCTCGACACAAATTCAGAAACTTAGCTCAGCATTCACCAACATGAGTTATTTGTGATGTAAATAAGATATCTGCCAACCAAACAGGGAATACATAAAGCTCGGCAGCATGCTTTGTATTACCTTATAGATGTAGAACACAGTCTATGAAAATAGATGATATATGCAGGCTTAGTATTTTCGATCATAGGTTTCTTTGAAGCGTTGTCCGCGTATCGTAGAACCAATAAGCGTCGAGGTCTTGGTTTCTGTGTTATCTGGGAGATAGGTCACCAGTCCTACAGATAATATAGGCAAACTAATCAAATCAGACTAAAGAACACAATCATTACTATAATGACGGTTCGATCACATAATGCACACATAATACAATCCAATTATTTGTTCTTCTTTCGGCCGTTACATCAGATAGTTGGATAAAAGATAATTTACACAATAACAAGATTTTAGGCAAGATGAATGTGATTTTAACCAACACCGAAAGAGATTACAGACGACAAAACTTACGCAAGCTAAATCATCATCTCCCATATCTAGAGCGGCGATGAACACCTGTTCCAAAATCGAGTACTCTGTGAAAAAAGAACAATGTTAGATGTTGTTTGGGAGAATAATTAACTGAAAATACATCAAAAACATGGATGACTTCGAGCATTTCACTTTGGTCTTCTACTGATAATAAGACAAGTGATTGGTGAAAAGAGTAATATAATCACATTAAAATCACCTTTTTAAGTGAACAATGCCACCAAACGCCCTGATACGGTCGAGAATGGGGAGAATCACCTCTCCCTCTCCAAAGGCTCCCACATGGACACGCGTATACAACCGCTGACAAGGAAGTTATACTCAATGCTTTTTTGCAGTGGGGATGTTGTTTACGAAATTGAGCGAACGGAAAGCAAATGTCCGGTGCCTTAACCGGGTTGGTGGACGCGGAGCAGTATCGCAGCCCACACACAAGTCACTTGACTTGTGTGGCGCATATATATTTGGTGCCCCTTTGAACTAATAGTTATGTGTCCAAATAAACAATAATAATATAGTGAACAATACCAAATAACCAACACCGTTTTGAAAATCTAAAGGTCTATTAGCAAATTAAGAGTGATGGTATAAGCTGACTATAATTTATCAAAGGTAATAAAGATTAACCGAATTCATTTTTATTTAAGTAGCGATTAAAACTTCGATGGGACGAAGTGTGAACTGTGCTTCTGAACAGTGACCCTCAGTCATCTAAGTGCATTTAGGGTGGCTTGTATGTTACTGGAAAGTATGAATTATTCATTTGTAAATTCAAGCTGGGTGATATCAAAGTGAGTGTTTTGATTTAGTGCTTGTGTGCACTATACCGATAGTTAGTGGAAATGAGAAAAAATACCTAATAAAACGATCTGGAATCAATCCTGCTCACTACTAGCTTTAACTATAAGGCTTATCGTTTTATATGAATCAGATATTTAATCATGTTGGATGTTATAAACAAGAGATGTGAGCAGACATTCAGCTGTCTTAATGCTTGAGAACGAAATTCTTATGAGATGTAAAACAAATTTTAGACTGATGTTTAAAATCATTCCTTTTTATCCATCAAAAAGTAAATTTACAGTTTAGCATCAGAATACCTCGAGGTGATTCCGAATTGTTGTTGATAAACACAAAGAGGAAAAAATACTATAGCCTGTATTATATATATATATATATATATATATATATATATATTCAATAGAATCCACAAACACGAACAGCGAGTCATATAACTTCATTTGATTAACGCTGTTGACAGACTTAAAAACAAGAAATTAATATTTGATAAATACCATCAATTAGTGGCTATTTGTTGATATCAACTTGAAAAAGGTGCACCATGAAAGTGTTTTTATCTAAACAGTTACAAAACTCAGAAATAAGCATACAATAGGAGACCAAATATTCACATACTCTCATAGCCCAGCTTGTCTATATGATCACAAAGGGATAACTTCCATAAATCAATCACTTTCTCGTTTTCTCGAAGACCACTCTCACGAATCGCACGTAGTTCATCTAATGCACCTAAATAGTGAGGATTGTAAGATTCATATTATGACATCGAGATTCAGAAAAAAAAGAGATAAATGTATTCGTCTCATTGTGGTCAGCTATATAACCCCTCCCAAAAACCTAACCAAGTCTGTACTTAGCCACATGGGTCAGATCAACTATTATTAACTTTGAAAAGTGACGCTATTCGTATATGGCCATCATTAATGTCTTCCCAATTGAGTTCTAATCGACCTAATATATTATCGCGACAACCAGTGGTTTCATTTTCGTACCACGTGTAATAAACTTTTTAAGCTCAAAAATTACCGACCAACCTACCTCCTAGTTGTAAACCGTAACATTTCTCATTTGGCGTATCTGCCGCACGCAAGTAATACGGTAAAGAGACTTACAGTTACAAACCACTAATAACTGAACATCGTGCAGACATTTAGAGAAAAACCAACAACAGTATTATTTCGAAGAAAAGTAACGAATAGTGGTTGGCTGAGAACACAGTATAGATGAAAAGTACTTGACTATCAGTTAACCCAGTTATTTGGATTTAATAAAGAAACTGTGTTGAAAAGACAGTGATTTGTGAGATGAACATCAGAAAGGGTAGATTATCAACAAGCACTTGAGACAAATGACGGAGGCATCAGTCTTCGAGGCCTAGAGTCCAGTGACCATAATTTTTCAGTTAAAGCCTATGGGGTTGCTAGAGCATAGGTATCCATATTTAAATTTCCTTGCATGCAGAACTGACTTTTATTACAATTAGTTTGTGACATAAACCATTCTTCAACTAGGTTTGATTTTCAGAACCAACCACTTGAAATTCCTTGAAAGGCAGTCTAACACTCATTGTGCAACATAATATCTAAACATTTAAGTTGAATAATTAAATACATATAAGGGAGCCGAAACGTTGGAACACTGAACTTCAGATTAAAAATGTGATTAAATTTGGTTTATTAGATTCGGTGACCATTACTTAGGTTGATACCACAAGTTATGACCATTACAATTAATTATAATGGTAAGTACATTTATTGGCGAAATGACCGAAGGACAACTATGGCAAAACATCCAATGGAGTCATATTGTTATTTTTCCTACGAAAGTTTTAATGAAGGTTCACCTTCCCAGTAGTGAGTTGTTAAACACATAATCCACTTGAAGTTATTTTTACATAAACGGAAGTAATAACAAGTACACAAAACGGTACTCATTGAAATATTTAACGGGAATTGTCTAAAACTTTCGTGTAACTTCTAGCACTTGCATTTGATAGTTGATGAATGTTCACACATGGTTTAACACATAGTCGTCTCAGTTAGGATCGGGCTGAATTGTTTGTAAAGTACAGAATCGCAACTTGCACAATAAAACAAATGGACTATGTTTACTCAAGGCCGAAACCATATGCATGAAAATCTTCCATAGATGTGGCACACAAGCAGGAATAAGTTGAGAATAACGCAATCATAGTTCGACATTTTTCCAAGAACACAGAGACTCCATTTCGGGTCACAATGTCTGTGTTCTAGGCTTTCGCTTTTTCATTGAATGAACTGCGTACCAAAGAAGTTAAATATGTAACAGAAAAAACCCCATGACAATCAGTAAGGTCGGTCCGGCAGTTTAGCTTGTGGAAATTGTTTTTAGAATTGATGACGTAAGAATGTGTAACCTCGCAGCTTTTCATAGGCAATGTATACCTAATGACTAGTCTAATGACTGTTCTAGCTAGAACGGTTTTGACGTTTTACAGTTAGACAATACAACTTGATGAGCAAAACAATGCAATGCTTACGTTGTTTACTTATGCATCCGTGACTTTTTTGTTTGTTCTTCAAAATATCACACACCACTGCGAGAATAACAGTCATAAATCCATAAACAATCCTCCTAATTTCAGAGCATATAGAAATATCACGAAGTTGCATTTTTGTTTTTCTTGTAATCCAGAGCAGTTATGAAGCGAAATTTATTTGGATAAAATCTGTGAACACCTGTGGGTTTTAAAATATATTAAAATATATATAAGTTTCGTCGTTGTTTCATTTACCTACAAAGCATCAATAAATTCTAAATGTTTGTCTGTTGCCACTTAATCGCGAGTAACTGTTTGAAGGACCTTATGCAGTCACTTGAGAGATAAATAAAATGGTGGTAACCGGTAGGAAAGTAGGAAAAGAAACAACACACGTCAAGGTTACTGTGCTTCGAAGAAAGCGCTCAATCACGCAAGGCCACGCGAACATCAGACATGAAATTCCAGAATAGGGTTTCAATGCATGACAAAAAATTAATTCCGACAGACTGATATGAAATTATTGCTCAGCGATTGCATCTTATAACTCATTGCATTTGAAAATTGAAAAACATACCTTTCTGACTGACGTGGATTTGGCAGTAATCACAACAGTGTAAATTCGGGGTTTGAGAAGGCCTTTACACGTAACTTTTTTTATATTAGAAGAATGTCAACCCAATCGAAGTAGATGAAAGAAGTGAGGAGGTTCGAAGATATAATTGAATAGTTATCGATATATCAAGAAACGTTCATTCTCAGCTGGCTAACAGTTGGGGGCGATTCGTAGTACGGTACACCCGCTCATGATCTGATGCGAATGCCTGATCAAGCGCCTTCAGCTTGATCCGCCCTACAAAATTGTTGAGGGCGAAATTAATTTCGAAGACTTACAGAATTATTTATTTTGGTAAGTTATTCGCCGCTACATGTCTTCATTTAAACTGATAAGATCACTAGCCGTTATAGTCAAAGTTGAATGTCGCTAACCTAACATCACTCACGCGATCAATTAAGTGAACCATTGACGTACGAAAGCGGTTTATGTTAGGTAGCCAGTTACATATTTTATTCTATGTATATAGTCCAATAACCATAGGAACCCTAGCTGTCAAGTGAACAACTTCATTCGAAGTCATGTTCTCTACATGGACTAGGAATAATAAATATATCGTCATAAGATGGGCTAAAATAAAGCATGCTAATAGTACAGAACTTTCAAATTCAAGTAATGTCTCCATAATGAACAATTATTGACTAGCATTGAGAATAGTCTTGTACAGTACATCACATATGCTAAACTTCTTGCACATAAATTACGCTGTCATTAGTGTGTAGTGACCTGCTTTTCTCGACGAGAACGCGATTGGTATAATGGAAACAATTGTTATTATAACCAATTGTTCCAGTGATTGTTTTACTGTACTCGCTTTTGTTTGACCGTATCAAAGTCACTTCTCGTTCCGTTGTCCATCTTGTTCGTTCGAACGTTCTTACACTCTGACTTTCTACCTGTACTCGTTGGTACGTCTCAGTATTCTTTCGATACCATGAGATCGCCAATAAATATACCTTATCCGTACCATTTACAGCCTTCTGGTTTTTGGCTATTCGAAGGAGCCAAGTCGTTTTCGGGCGCATAATCTTATTGTAGTGGTGATTATAGTCATTCGAGACTCGACACCATCTACAAGTTAATTATTCTTATCATCAGTTGGCTTTACTGAGGAATTGAATCCTTAGTCCTATTAATATTTCGTCCATCTAGGCCTAAGCTTTCTCAATTGACAGTTCAGTTAATTTAAATCAGACTTTTGAAGAGATTTGGAATAAGTTCGATGTCCCACTGAGTAAAGTCACAAATCATTCCGTCTGTTATCAACTTTACCTAGACTCTAGTCCTACCCTTGATTGATGAATGAACAAGTGTGGGAGACTAAAGAGAAAAAATCTCACTTATTCCTACCAACTATTTAAGAAATTTTGGTGCCCGCAGTTAACTCAATGACGGCGAAGATGAAATATATTTTTCTCACTACTGTCGTATGTAAAACTTAAATCGATTCAATGGTGCTAAGCTTTTACATCAAATATATTGGTAGAATTCATTTCAGACATTCATAAAAAAGCTGATATATGCTGAGAGCGAATAAATAAACAACGTAGGAGAGGTATATATATGTGTACGCAGGCAAAACGTCAGAGTTATATATATATATATATATATATATATGTATATAAGAATACATACAATGTGACAGATCAAGAAGCAATTAATCACACAACACATAAGAAACCATACTGAGTGAACAAACATATTACTCAATTACTCAGTAATAATTAAGAAACAGTCAAACGAGTAAAACAGTTAGTAGGTTTACAGAAAGCTTACTATGAAGGGGTTGTAGAAATACAACAATAAAGCTTTCTAATAATCTTGTGATAGATATTAATAATGATAACCCGTAATACAAAACTGGAGGTTTTAAGTTTCTTAGTGTTCATGCTGTTACAACATGGACAGTGCATTCACGAATTCATTCGATACAGTATCTCACTTTGTAATTATACAGACTCACTTTTGAATAACAAACACAGTAATAGACTGAGTTAAAAAAGCATAGCTACGTAGATGAAAAATTATTTATCAAGAGCCTATTCAAGGTGTTATCATAGTTCTTCTATTATCTGGTTGATCTGATAGCGAAAGTTTGAAGACTGATTCTTAAAAGAATGCCTTAATACACATCGGTTACGGCAATATTTGCCAGTAAATCATCAACAACAATCATCTTCAGCAAGCCCAAGGACAATATTGATTATTAGTGTCCCTAAAAAAGCTTACATTGCAACTTATCGACCTCTAAAATATTCAGTCGGTTATTATCACTTACCAGAAAATTGTATAGTTTGACAAGGATATGTTGTGGATTTTATATTCTACCTAAATGAAACGATGACTGGAATACTGTGTCAAATATGCCAGTCCATGTCTTATTGAAGTGGTCTACATACGCTATTGTGTTTAAAAATGAACATTTTGTTTGAGATAGTATGATAATCATAAGTATTTGAATTGTAGTATAAACTAGTGATCCCAGGAATAACGCAATTTAATCAAGAAGTATTAGATGAGCACAAACGAATGTATTCTATTTGGAATTCAAAATCACAACAGTGCTCAATACAAAGAAGTTATTGATTTATTTAGACATCGCATCCTCCACAGCTCAAATTGGAGTGTAAGTGTCTGTAATCGATTGATCGTCTTCTTCATAAGTTCACCTTACATCTGTCCAACAATGTGTTGGATGTAGACTCTGCATTATCCAGAATGCACTCATTAGTATTAGAATTAACAACCGAAATTGGAACAGACTCACCTGGGTTCTGGAATTGTATACAATCATGATGTCTGTCGTATAGTGAAACCACTGATATTTAGAATTTGCATCATAAACTTTCAAACACTATCCTCCTCCACGAAATAATGTAGGGTCCTTACGTCGCAATGTTATAACCAATATGACGTTCCCAATTTGCATTATCTTCTCAAATCTCACGCATCGGTTAATGTAAGTGAGTACTCGGGGATAAACACTGATATATAATTTGAGGTATTGCATCATGTGACTTTGACTTGAATTAAAATTATGATACATATTCTTTTTGTTATTCATATTAGAATATACAGATAGATATGCATTGATAATTGTGATTAACACATGTGATTCAAGTGGGCTTGATTTACCTGCGAAACAATCGAATAGAAAACATTCATCTGCCTCATACTCATTAGGATAATCTTGGACTTGATTTGGACTATCTGTCTGAGCAAAATTCACTTCTGGGCAAACTGGTTCTCTGACTGCTTCGGGAAATTTTGCTATCCCCTCTGATTCATCATACCACTGACTAGGGACTCTACTCAACATACACTGTTCGTGAGAATATGCAACATCTGATACAATAACATCAGAAATATAACTAGAATTCGACTAATTCGGAACATATTTCTCACATTCATTGGGAATATCATTAGAGATAAATTCATTGTGAGGGTAAATGACATTTAATATGATATCAGAATTTGATTTTTCTGAAATATTTCCCTTGAATTTATTATGAGTTTCATTAGAGAATAATGGATCATTAGGAAAATTAGCATCTACCAAGACTGAATCCGGTTTCTGATCATGATCCGACTCATTCAACATTTTATTCTCAGAGTTATAAAAAATTTCCTCTGAATTATGTGAATCATTATGACAAACCATATCTGGTACAATAACATAAGAAATCCGATAAGAAGTTGGTTGGTTGGAAATTTTTGTCTCACAATGACTCAGGGTTTCATTCAACTCTGGACTGTTATGTGACGTTATACCACTTCTAGAAGTCCTGGATAAAGATAAGTGATCATTAGAAACATCCATCTCAGCATCACTCTCAGCGAACTGAATCATGGTATTACAAACTGACTGAATGTGTCCAGTTTTACCACATTTAAAGCATTTAGAATTACGAAATACACATGAATTACATGGGTGAAACTTGCCGCAGAACAAGCATTTACTGAACTCGTGCTCATCTTTGTGGACTGTTTCATAGCTCAATGAAGTATTATCTGAATAACTTTGATTACGCATCGAACTGCGATGACTTAGTAAAGTTGTGTAATTCCTGATGTTCTGGCGAGTCATTTTATCGGATTTTTCTTTCTTACCACACTTGGAATTTGTATACTTTACATGATCCAACAGTAGTTGCTTGAGAGTTGCATAGGGAGGTGAAATCGGTTTGTCTGGAAGTGCCATCTTCCTTGGTCGTAGCCCATATTTCGGACCTCTCCATGTATTCCTCAAAAGCATTAAAATCTGAATTTATATCCAACCGTATCATCACAGGCTCAATCGCAACGCCAATATGATAATCATAAGTATTTGAATTGTAGTATAAACTAGTAATCCCAGGAATAACGCAATTTAATCAAGAAGTATTAGATGAGCACAAACGAATGTATTGTATTTGGAATTCAAAATCACAACAGTGCTCAATACAAAGAAGTTATTGATTTATTTAGACATCACAGATAGCCATTTCCAATTTCGAATGAAAATCGATCGAAAAGTTTAAATCCTTCCCCTTTATCTTACAACAGAATGCCAGGAGATCTTATATTGGCCTTAGATATTCAAAATAATGTTATACATGTAAGCTTCGTTAATCTTTTTTATCCTTCTTGGACTATTAACCTCCGAGTTCACTCAGAGGGTTTTGCAAACTGTGGTTTAAAATCTCTGTATATTCAACTCGGTCGTCAAATGACTAACTACTGAACCGTTCTATCTGAGCAAATGGCCTCACTACCAATGGCGAAATCGTTTCATAAGAAACTGAACTACTTAAACAAGATTGTCCCTTGAATACTCTATTAATTATTATTGCCTAACCAACCTCCTTTTTGTATTTATGGAGACTAAAGTTGTTCGTATGGAAAAAGAGAAAACTATCTAAATAACGGCTTCTTGTTGCATTTTTTCATCGAATGTTTGAGCTAGGGAAAATTTTCATTATTTTCTAACACGGACAACACCAAGGGATTTGAATATTTGGATGCATCTAGTTCCATTCAGCGAGGAGCCATAATTCCGTCTTTGTTAATTATGATCGTCGGGTTTAAGAGTTCAAAGAGAAGCATGCAAAAATCATTGATAATTTTCTTAATAACAATAAATATTGGAAACATTTAGTTGCTGATTGATGATATTGTAACATGTTGGACATTTTGCCGGTTTATTGAATATTTGGATCCATTCAGTTGTTTCTCTTGCAATTTATATTAGTTCAGTTATCATTCTTGCTTGAGTTAATTCCAGTCTAACGAAAAGGCAGAGGTTTGTAAGAAGTGGCTGGACTGAAATTCGACGTTTTCCGAGATCTTGATGAACCTCCCAGAAAGTTTAGTTCAACTTTAAAAACTTACTTATTATCATTCAACATACACATATTCGTCTAAAGCGAATACAGTAGCTGGGTTCTGGAGATGGTAGATTTTCACTTACTAAGAAGCTTTCAATATGTTAAGCTGGATGGACCAAGTAGATATTAAAAGTGAGTTTTTTTCAGTCAAACTAAAGCGGCTTGCTAGAGTGCTTTGACACTCGGAAGAAATGACCCGTGAATTACTTGATTTTAATGTCAGGGGCTAACCTGTCTGCACTGATCTCGGCGAATCGAAGCTCATTTCATCTCACGTCCCTCTGAATGTATCGACCAAAAGAGCTATTGCCACGTGTTAAGCCAGCGATTCACCAAACTAGTTTCTCAAGGTGAGTAATTTTCTAGCTAGAGAACAGTGAGATTTGAGCGTTGAAACGCTGCTATCCGTAACATCTCAGTCGATGATCCCAAACCCAGTCGAAATAGGATTTAGTAATGGAGTTCGAAGAAGTTTTGGGAGGATGATCAATGAATCGAGAAGTTTATGAACTTCAGCTGACTAGTTGTTGCGAGGGATGCGTAGCACAACGTACCAAGTCACAATCTGGTATGTATGTTCAACTAAAGGGACTTCGAGTGGAGTAGAACTAATGACAACATCATCTATATCGAAAACTTACGGAACTATTTGATTTTAGGTTTTACATGCAGCTAAACTTTCTAGCCAGTCGAATCTCGATGAAATCCTTTCTCTAGGCTGCCGTTATGCTTGTGAAAAAACAATTTTTAATAAAACAAAATGTATGCTTATTCACTGTCGGATGAAGAACGTACGTGTGACAGGACTAAATAGAACAAACTGAGCTTGAAGTTGTTCAGTGATGTAGTCCAAGTCTTCTTAAACTGCTTCACACTCTTTGAGTTTCGTGTTACGCTACGCAGCGTACTATTTACCCATACAAAGGCGCTGATGTTCACAAAGATGATGGGGTCATCTATTTACAAACATTGACACTGTTCATAAGATCCTGTTTAATATAACTAATCAATTCCATTTCATACCAGACTCACATTCTTCCAATAGGCAGCAACAAGTTGCTGAGATTATTATACTTTATTTTAATAGACTACTGAAAATATCGAGAGTTATCACCCAAATACCTTAGTAATTCACTTCCAGCAGACTTTAAAACCTTGAAAACTACTATAGTTAAATTCTCAAGACAGCTATGAGTAAGACGTTTCTTGAGAAGTCTTTCTGAGTTTTAGGTTTTTGATGTCATTTCATTGATCTGCTGACTAACTTGAATAATAAGGCGAAAAGCATACACGTTAATACATGGTACTAGGCCAATAATTGACCATTTGGCGAAATAAGGCGAACTAGAGAACAGTGGATAAGGATTGACATGGTAAAACAAATTGTGCGGATTTTCCGACTGATCTTTACTCAGTGATTGGTAGAAATACATCAACTGACAGGCAACTATCAGTTCCATGCCCTTAAGATAGCTAAAGTTTGTAGTTCCGTAAATCTCGAGTTTTAACTAGAAAGAATAAGTCACATTGATTCAAATAAAAAAATACAAATTTTTCAGTCAACTGTCACTACGTTGTATCATCGATATACAAATTACAACTCAAGATAATCGATGCTTATTAATCTCTAACTGATCCATCTATCTTTGCAAAAGGCTTACAAAACCGAATAATCATAATTCAGTCACAACGTTGAACTTCGTACGTACGTACATCAGTTCGAGTTGCCATACCACATTAGCACAGAGATGCAGTTATCGATCCAAATCTCATAGTGGAAGAAGTAGTAAAAATATAAATAGTAATCTGAAAGATTAAGGTTTGAAGATGTTATTCAAGGAGTATAATCCAGTGAAATAAATTTGGAAAGAGAAAAAGGATAGAGACATGAAGAATTCAGATTAGAATTTAGTAGAACACAAAGAGTGGATGCGCCTTCGCCATTGCAAACGATTTTGAGCCATGTCATTCAAGGTCTCTAACCATCGATTGGTATCATCTCGCGAATCCCAACCAGGTAGTCTACACCTGCCAACATGACTCAGTCCACTTGTCAGTAACTTCATGGATTTGTGCCACGTTTTGCTTTTGCCAACCCTAGCTTTCTTCCACCCTACTCCTACACCATAAAACATTACACGTCGAAGCAGTCGGTGGTTGGGCATACGTAACACGTGTCCCAGCCATCTCAACTGATGAAGTTTCACTACTTCATCAACCGATTTGCCATCATTACCTAGTACCTGTTTCCTAACAACTGCATTACTTACTTGGTGATCCCAGGATATACGAGCAATGCTTTGATAACACTTATGATCGAATACTAGTAGCCTACGAATATCCTCTACTCTTATCGGTTATGTTTCACTGCCATAGATTAGGACGGAACGAACTGTTGTACAGTAAACCCGTCCTTTGGTTGCTAGACGGATTTGTGATTGATATAAAAGGCCTTCCGCTAAAACAAAACAAGGAAAACATTTGAACAGAGGTTTCTTTTTAAAATAAAAGAGGTATACCCTAACAGCAGAATAAAATTATACAAACAAATATAAACTAATAAATACACATCATTGTGAACATTAACAACAGACAGTCATGTTTTTCAATCTATTGTTTTTCTGTTTGTTTACTGAATAAATAAAACAGAATGACTTTAAAAAAAGGAATAAGCATAAGTGCACTAGTCGATTAGATAATGAATAAAGACAGGCAAGAATCTTATCATAAATGAGTATTAAATTTAAGAAAATAAGTTTCAGTGGGATTTTGTATTTTTGTTTCTTTCTTTTCGAAAATAAAAAAAAAGAACAAAAAACAACACAACACAACACATAAACAGGCATTTGCGGTGATATAAACAATTAAACCGGGAATAGTGATTATTTTATTAAAAGAAGGCTTTAATATTTATAATTTGTATGAATAAATAAATGACAAATAACCATCTAACAATTAAGGTTATATCACAAAATAAACATAGAAAAGTAAATGAAGAATAAATGAAAAATAAATGTGTGTGTGGGGTGGTGGTGGAGGGGGTCTGTGTGTGCATAGTAACGCTAAAATAAAATAAAAACATAATTTATAGAGAGAACAAAAGGTTACTAAACACCTTAGAGTGTTCAGGTATGGATATAAAATTCTTTAAGGAGAACTTTAAAACAAAAAAGGAAACCCATTTGGTGAAGGGAGAAATGTAGAAATAAAGTGAACATAAACATAATTCATTCAGAGTTACATCAATGGATCATTTACTTCCTATACACATTAAAAAGGATAACCATAAGCAGAATCATCATATGCACAATTAATGATATATATATATATATATATATATATATATATATAGCCTATCTATTATTGATTTTGTACAAAACAATAATAATAATTGGTAGCCAATAAATTTACAAGATGTTTAACATTAGAAAATACAAAAAACCGGTGATATAAAAACAAGAAAACAATCAGAAGTTTCACTGTATCATCACCATCACCATCAACAACACCACTACCACTACCACCACCAGACCTATTCACAGTTTCCAGGCAATAAAATTAAGAAAAAGAAAGTTGAGAATAATCTGTTGTAGGTTTTATTGTTGATAGCTTGATCATCATCATCATCATCATCATCATCTATAAGGTTAGTTTACTTAACCTTTTATGTAGATTACTTTTCTCTTTTTGTTTATCTCTTTGCTTATTTTACCTTATTAAATGCATGTGTATATGCATATGTGATCATTATCAAAGATTATTTAATTTTGAATATTACGTATATGAGATTCTTGAGCTTCGAATTCTTTGACTTCATGAAATATACGAGCTTTCCATTCTTCAACTGATAAATTTCTTTCACCAAATGAATCATCATATGGAGCTGGTGGTGGCTAAATAAGAAAAAAAACGAAAATAACAAATAAATTATGTTCAAAATAAATAATGTGGATGTCCAGCACTATCCTTTTTCTCTTTTCAAATTTATTTCACTGTATTATACTCCTTCAATAGCATCTTCAAACCCTAATCTTTCACATAATGCCACCAAATGCCCTGGTACGGGCGAGAGTGGGGACAGTCCGCTCTCCCACTCGAAATTCTTTCACATGGACACGCGAATATATAGCCTCTGACAGGGAAGTCCTACTCACTGCCTACTCATGGCATTACTGTTGTTTACGATATTGAGAGGACGAAAACCGAATGTCCGGCGTTTTAACTGGGTTGGTGGACACGGAAAGTCCACCTAGGGGAGTTGGAAAACCCTGATTTCAAACCAATGCTGCACATGGGCTCCAGTATCCTGAAGGAACAAATGACGTATGAATCAATCGTTGGTCACCGGCTACAATGGGACTGCATCTCCTCACGATGCTTTACTGCCTTGTGGACTAGACCTTTAGGTCAAAGGCACCGGATGTGGCCCCCTAAAAACACAACCTGCTTCAGTCTGAGCAACTGGGCAGTATCACAGCGCTCACACAAATCAAATGAGATTTGTGGGGCGCATATTTATCTGGTGCTTTCTTGTATCAATATTTATGTGTTTAAATAAAATAATAAACATAATGCTTATACTCTTACTACTTCTACCACTATGGGATTTAAGTCGACAACTGCATCTCTGTGCTAATGTGGTATGGCAACTCAAACTGATGTACGTACGTATGAAGTTCTACGTTGTGACTGACTGCAGCACATGATTAGTATTAGTAGTAATAATAAAATGATTAAATTCTTTCATTTGAAAATTCTTTTAAAACAATGACAGATTTACAATCCTTTTGGGGAAAGTTCTACTAACTGCTATTTGCATTTCAGTATTCTGTCGAAGTTAAAGATCGAACAGGATGTCTCTTAAGGAAGTTCTGTTATGAGTAGACGTTAAATTAACAAACGTTTTTTTCACTGATATGTTAGTGAATATTATATCTGCCACAACTAATCTTAGATAATGTATATACTTATCTGCTTTTCTACCTTCACTTTCAGAGGCACATTGGACAAAAAAATTCTAAAGTGAGAATCTGGAGATTTTCGATACTAACTTATATAATATCGCATAGAAGTGCTTAGGAATTCCAGGGGCAGCATTGTAAATTTATCGTCTATCGGTGTAGACAGTATACTCCATATGTGTTTGGCAGGGATGACGTCAGGGTCATATACTAAGTGCCATAGCATAACATCACCGCTAATGAGTCTAATTTTAAACCAAAAACGTTAAATAAAGTACTGAATAACGGGATTACTATTATTATTATCACTAGTTGTTACTCCACTAACAAGCATATATGACCATTAGTTGTATCATTTACGAAATACGATAAAAGCGAAAAGTTAAATTTATAAAAATCAGGTTATAATGAACTCCATACAACCTTTTAACGCTCATCGACCTAACATGATAGACTGGAAGTACGCAAACGTGTGTAAACTATATAACCAAAAAACTTTACGGGGGCTACGTGAAGACTAGAAAAGCTGAGAGTCAGAATTCTTCACTACAGTAAAAGCAGTAGGAGCATCTACTGTTACCATACATCCCAAACACTGTAGTCATCATATATTCACCTTATATTCATTGCTTGAACATCATAAGATGTACTCGAAACGAACAGTCGTTGTATATTTTTATTCAACAACTGCTGTTGACTCACTGAACGGGATTGTGTTCTGGAATTTCCACTTCAGGGGTGACTGATAAATTTATTGCTTCAAAAACACCTCAGATAAACTAATGAAAGATAAACAAAAATTCTTATTCTTTTACAAGGACTTGGGTCAAGTTTTTTTCACTGACCGTTATTCCTGGAGAAGATTAGACTCATTAATGCCTACAGTCAGAAATATGTTTGGAAAAAACTCTTGGGAAACTACACCTCCGTATATTAACTAACGTACCGCGTTTACTTCAGAGTCTTCATACCATACGTGTATGTATGGGTGATGAAGAGCATCGTCAACTGAAATTCTTTGTAATGGATCAATCACCAACATTCTACTTAATAAGTCTCGAGCTTGCTCAGCGTTTAGTGTTTCATGCTCCTATCAGAATATAAAAAGGAAGACGAAAGTGGAAAAGCCATAAAGACGTGATTATCTATAAAAAGTAAACATTACAGATTACGAACTAAACATACGGAACAAATGCTTTCATTGGTAACTTCACAGATCAAGTGAAATCATGAGCAGATCATGGAAGTGCATCTCCTCACGACGCCCCACTACCTTGTCGGTTAATTCTTTAGATCAAAGGCTCGGGGTGTGGTTCCCTAAGAAAACCACTTGCTTCGGTTTGGACAACCGGGCAGTATCACAGCCCTCATACAAATCGAATGAGATTTGTGCGGCGCATATATATATCTGGTGCCCTCTTTTACCAAAGTTTGTGTTTAAATAAAATAAAATACGTTATTATTCTAAAAAGCTCTTTCACGTTCTGATTGGATGGAAACTCCTCGACTTCGTCGTAATTCTCGGATGCTATACCAACAGTTCGTATTAGCGTTATTATTATTCTTAACCCTTGGCTACCAATTCGCAGTAAACCGGACAGATATACCACTTGTACTAGATCTACAGATTTAATATTTAACTTATAAGCATTCCGTTAGTTATTATTCGCTTTCTGATCTATTGTGGAAAACTAATCTTAGTTATTTTGTTTCTTTTAAGCAATGTCATGTTGTTTGTTTTTCTTTTTTTTCAGACACTTTCCATTGTCGCCTTTAGTGTGTCCGCTGTGAACTCAATTTTATGTTATTACGGTAGAAAATATTTTATTTATTATTATTATTAGATAGAAAAAGTCTACGTAGAACCGTCAATTATGTTTAATCAGATTACGAGGTTGCAAACCTATGTGCTTTCAACAAATTGGTTATAGGCGGCACAATATTCCCACACAAACGCATACACACAGCTACATGGATCTCACCGGACCACACCACAGAGAACCAGATTGATCACATCTGTATCAACAAAAAATTCCGAAGATCAATGGAAGATGTGAGAACCCGGAGAGGAGCTGACATAGCTTCAGATCACCACCAACTGGTTGTGGCCAAGATGAGACTGAAGCTAAAGAAAGACTGGACAACTGGACAAACAGCACTACAAAGGTTTAATACAGCCTTCCTTCGAGATACTGACAAACTCCATGAATTCAAGATAACTCTCAACAACAGGTTCCAAGCTCTACAGGATCTACTGAAAGAACAAGAAACTACTTTGGAGGACAACTGGAAAGGGATAAAAGAAGCACTAACTTCAACGTGTCAGGAGGTTCTTGGTCCTAAGAAGCACCATCACAAGGAATGGATCTCTATGGGGACCCTGGACAAACTTCAAGAAACTAGCAATTAACAACAGCCGAACACGAGCAGAGAAAGTCAAAGCACAAGCAGACTACGCAGAAGCAAACAGAGAAGTGAAGAAAAGCATTAAAGCCGACAAGCAGAAATACATGGGAGAACTAGCAACGGCGGCGGAAAAAGCTGCAAGAGAAGGGAATATGAAACAACTATATGATACAACGAAGAAATTGGCAGGGAGATATAGCAAACCAGAGAGACCAGTCAAAGACAAAGAAGGAAAGACAATCACTGAGATTCAGGAACAGAGGAAAAGATGGGCAGAATACTTTGAGGAACTGCTGAATAGACCAGCCCCATTGAATCCACCGAACATCGAAGCAGCCCACACTGACCTGCCAATAGACGTCACTCCACCAACGATCGAAGAAGTCAAGATGGCCATCAGACAAATCAAAAGTGGGAAGGCGGCAGGACCTGACAATATACCAGCAGAAGCACTGAAGTCAGACATTGAAATAACTGCAAACATGCTTCACCTTCTATTCAAAAAGATTTGGGAAGAGGAACAAGTGCCAACGGACTGGAAAGAAGGATATCTCATCAAGATACCAAAGAAAGGAGATCTGAGCCAATGTGAGAACTACAGAGGCATCAGTTTGTTATCAGTACCAGGAAAAGTTTTCAACAGAGTGCTGCTGAATCGGATGAAAGACGCAGTAGACGCCGAACTTAGGGATCATCAGGCTGGATTCCGTAAGGATCGGTCGTGCACAGACCAGATTGCGACACTACGGATCATCGTTGAACAATCAGTTGAGTGGAACTCATCACTATACGTCAACTTCATCGACTATGAGAAGGCGTTTGACAGCGTGGATAGGAGAACATTGTGGAAACTTCTTCGACACTATGGAGTTCCTGAAAAGATTGTCAACATTATCCAAAACTCATACGATGGATTACAGTGCAAAGTGGTGCATGGAGGACAGCTGACAGATGCATTTCCAGTAAGGACCGGAGTCAGACAAGGCTGTCTACTCTCCCCATTTCTCTTCCTTCTAGTGATTGACTGGATTATGAAGAATTCGACATCCGAAGGGAAATACGGAATACAATGGACTTCTCAGAATCAATTAGATGATTTGGACTTCGCAGATGACCTAGCCCTCCTCTCTCATACACACGACCAAATGCAGATGAAGACAGCAAATGTAGCAGCAGCCTCCGCATCGATAGGCCTCCACATTCACAAAGGAAAAAGCAAGATTCTCAAATGCAACACGGAGAACACCGACCCAATCACACTTGATGGCGAAACTCTGGAAGAGGTGGAAACATTCAAGTACCTGGGGAGCATCGTTGATAAACAAGGAGGATCGGATGCAGATGTAAAGGCAAGGATTGGCAAAGCAAGGGCAGCATTTCTACAATTGCAGAACATATGGAACTCAAAACAACTCTCAACCAATTTCAAGGTCAGAATCTTTAATACGAACGTCAAGACAGTCCTACTGTATGGAGCTGAAACGTGGAGAACTACTACGGCCATCATCAGGAAGGTACAAGTATTTATAAACAGTTGTCTACGCAAAATACTCAACATCCACTGGCCGGATACTATCAGCAACAGCGTTTTATGGGAGAGGACAAACCAGCTTCCAGCTGAAGAGGAAATAAGGAAAAGACGTTGGAAGTGGATCGGACATACATTAAGGAAATCACCAATGTGCATCACGACTCAATCCCTAACTTGGAATCCGGAAGGGAAGCGGAAAAGAGGAAGGCCAAAGAACACACTACGCCGGGAAATAGAAGCAGATATGAAAAGGATGAATAGCAACTGGAAAGAACTGGAAAGGAAGGCTCAGGACAGAGTTGGATGGAGAATGCTGGTGAGTGGCCTATGCTCCTCGACGAGGGGTAACAGGCGTAAGTAAGTAAGTAAGTAAGATTACGAGGGCTACTTTGTATCATGTTGGCAATTAACTTTGCTAAATAAAATTTATTTAGATAAGCAGCAAAGGAACTAACAATAAAGAGAATTATATGTTGTGCAACACTAAACATTGGCCCAAACTAAAAGATGAAGAGTAAGAGTTATAAATACTTTTACCATAAGAGTATAATAGAAAGTAAAAATAATTAGGACTTTGTTATAACGTGAAATATAGCGTATTGCGATAGGACTACACGAAATTCTACCGATTGACCAAATTCAGATATCCTAGTTCGACCCCAATACTGTTCCCCAACTCCAATAAATCAGAACACAGCCGTTAAACGAGAATTGTTTATGGGGTCAGCAGCAGAACAAAAATGGTTTACAGACAAGGCATATTGCCAACTCAACTAACGGATAGTCAAACATAAGTGTGAAATTAAGCAATCGATACAGAGCCAATCCTAAAAGTACTTTACATTTAAAAGACAAGGAACAAATTTCAGAATTTCTGCTTGGTCGATTAACCAGTGAAAGTCTTTGGGTAAGAAAGCAATCTTTAAAATGCTGTACCATGAATAAGGTGTAACATAATTATAGTCGAAAATCAATTAATCGGTTACTTGTACACATTTTGTATTTGTATAGTGAATCATAAAACTTACAACAACAGGGATTTTTTGCAAACATTGTATATGTGTAACATATATCATACTGCAAGCCTGAATAACCCGGTTAAAATAACCCAAATGGTTAGTAATTGCTAATCACATTATTTGGGGAATTCGGAAGCAAGATAATCCTTACAAAACACACATGTCAAGTAGATCCTTAATTATTATAATGTACATTAGGCAAGCGTTAAACAGGAGTGAACTTTTTTGAAAAAAGGAACAATATAAATGACAAGGCAGTTATGAGATTGCTCGATTTTTGCTAATGTTAAAGTTTTACTAGTAATGGTAACTGGGAATGCTATTGTTTTATATCCAGTTTTTCACACTCTCTCGATCGGTTGTCAATACTTTTAGTTCATTAATTTCCTGTATGTTTCAAGGTCATGCATTGGTTACTAAATGCACTGAGTTGTACCATATCAAATCTATCTTGCGTCGTTTCAACATTTCGTCTTTTGCCTATTTTGGCGGATTATTATCGTTGGAGTATCGAGTGTCAAACATGAGGTTACATTCGACTTCATATTTGTTACTGTTTATATCAGAAAATTCTCAATAGTTCGTAAACAGAATTCACCTTACGTCAACCAGGAACCAAAATATGCAATTGGTTTTTTTCAAGATATAACAAAATGAACGAAGATTATAATAGGGAACTTCAATTTAAAGATATTTCAATATTCGGCTTCATGATAAATGATGCAAAGTTCTTTTGAATGAATAAAGTGCTCTTAGACATAACTAAATAATGACATAACAGATTAAAAAAAAGAGAATAGAAATAACTTACCGTGCTAGGTGGAGGAAAACGATCATCTGGAAAGAGTTCAGTAAATGAACGTGGTTCATTTTTTGGACGTGACATTACATAATTACGTACAGCATATTCTAAACGATTCATAAATTCAGGTCCTGGTGTTCCAAGTTCTTCTGTAATCTTAGTCCATTGATCAATATGGTCATAACCGGGGAATAGAATTCTTTCTAGAACCATCTCAGCAAATATACAACCAACTGACCAAATATCTACATTTTCAGAATAACCCATACCTAAAATAACTTCTGGAGCACGATAATAACTATAAAAAAAGAAATAATTTTATAGAAGTTTTAAATCATAAAAATAAATATATCAAATTTACAGCAGTACACAAACACTAAACCTAAAAAGTTCATTGAACTAAACGTTTTTATAACTGTATTAAGGTCAAATTAATTAACAGTATTTTCATAGTTGAAATCATTAGTCAATTGAAGCTAGACAGCCATGGAAACCCTGGACGGCCGTTTCGTTCTATTATGGGACTCCTCAGCAGTGCGCATCCACGATACCGCACTCGCGAGATTCGAACCCAGGACCAACTATGAAAATGCTGAAATCTCCACAAAACTCTTTTCTGATTATAATCATATGCTCACTAGTGACTGACTTCAAGATACATGTCCTGGAGTTCAAGTGGGAAGCAGTGACCAGTGGAGTTCAACCACGTCTGTTGTGAGAAAACAACTCACTGGAGACAATTGATGAACGGTTGCTCAAACTTCGTGGATTGGTTGAAGTTAGACATTAACACCATTGGATGCCGGCTAGCTCGGTGGTCTAGAGGTTAAGTGCTCTGGCGCAGGTTTATACACTCTTTATTTTCCTTTAGACCTTGAGATTGAAATTGCTTCATAACTTTCTTCTTTCCTATACTATATCCCAATATACAACCTATCTTTTATATACTACCACCACCACCACCACTAAATTAACTACTTCTCTGAATTTGGTGTTCATCTTGTTGTGCTAATGAGGTATGGCAACTTGGACCGATGCATATATGTGCCTGGTCCTACGTTGTAGCTGACTGACTGACTATACATTACTAGAAAGGAGGTGATATTGCTCTGAGGAATCATAGATGTTTGAAGTACGACGACTATCTTTCAAGAATTAAAGACTATCACCAAACAATGAAACTATTTCTTTGATTAACCATGTTAGATTAATGTGAAATTTGGAGAGGAATGTGATGTAGGCATCAGTAGAAGTTTACGTTAATGTGTATGAGGTAGTCGGTGAACGTTACTGTTGATGAAGCTACTCATTGTGGAACTACAGAAAGAGATCTAAAGTGTCAGTTCCTCAAGACCATGGGTTCACAAGAGCTTCGAAATTAGAAGATCCTGGAGTAACAATGGTCTTGCTTAACCTTCATATGCAATATATATATATATATATATATATATATATATATATATAGGCTACTATCAGAAAGTCTTTTAGTGTGCATAGTTGAATCTTAAAAGGTTTCAGCTATACATGGAATAGTTTTCCGATTAAGTAAACTGATACAATACTGAATAACACTGGCTCAATTCAACGATTAGCCTAGGAAACGCGGAGAGTGTCTGCTGATAAGAACTATGAAGCATAAAATTTAATCGTTAAAACTGACTAATAATGAACACTGAAAAACGATAACTTATAAAGCAATGAAAAATATGTTAATGTTCATACCGAGTTACCACATATGGAGTCATTAAAAAGCTATCACCAGCTGTACGGGCCAAACCGAAATCCAGAATTTTCAAACTACAATCATGTTTCACAACAATATTACTGGGTTTTAAATCTCGATGGATTATACCGGCTGCATGTAAATGTTTTACACCACATAGGACTTGATACAGTAGATATGAGGTTCGTTCATGATCTAAATCAAGGTTGATCACCTAAAAAAAATAAATATGCTAAACTGTACATTACACAATCATATTACTAACTGGATGATAATTTCAGAACGTACACAACCTCATAACACTCGGAAGGATGATTATCCATTCACAGACTATTTAAATCACCTACAATCCACATTAGAATTACAACTGGAATATGTACCGACTGTATACAATGTAAACTTAGTAATGCTTGCATTAACATTACATGTTTACTGGACGCTATACTGTTGTAGTAAACAAGAACACTAGTTGGGGACAATCGAATGCATTTAAGTGAAAATTACATACTATCTCACTAAATTCTGATAACCATACAATGAACAGTTAATTTGCAAAATAACCATCAATTGTGTCAATCTTCACTGTTCCTTCTGTAAACATCAATCCATCTTCTCTAATTTCATTGTTTATGCATTTTCCTACCAATTGCGCTTTATTTCAGTTCTTTCCTTATCGGTCTTCTGCCAAAATACATTCTATGTCTAACCATCACCATATACTACTTATATGGATATAAGTAGGCCACACCACACTGTATCTTAAAATCATTTCTTTGTAATATATTACTTTAGTATATGTAAATATTTCTAGGAAAATTATATGGAGAATCATGTCTATATTGACCAGATGATCGTTTATCTGAGATTTTTAAGAAAAAGTTGAGAATTTTAACTTAAACTATAGAGATGCTAGAATCTAATACATTGAGGTGATAAGAAATTGATCAAACGATAAGTGTACATGATGGAACAAGAAAAGGTCTTTTAATGCCTAAGGAATGAGATGATGGTAGCATAACTGTCTAGAGACAGACACACACATGATTCTGTTTAATTAGTAAGCTTGATTACTCACTTTCAGTCTTTTACTCCTGTATAAGAAGATTGTTTTTCACAGCACCAACTCTCGGTCATCGCACTTCACAAAAGAAACCAGTGAGTGACAGATATTCGATTACAACAACGAAAGTAAGTCAGATATCATAACGCCAAGCATTTTATTTCCCTGGCAATGTAATATTTGTTATCCATACTTCCGGTGATTCCGTATCTGTGTTATTATAATCTATAATAATTCAAACTAGAGTATTGGTCAAATTCCTAATTTTTTTTAAATATCTATTTGGTGTGAACTGAAATGGATTTGAATATCTAATACTCTGCTAATTAGTAAATTCATAGCTCTTAAAATTTGTATCACGGTGGAAATCATTGATTCGTATTTTTATTCTAATAAATTATATTATCTAATTTATTGATATTTTACTTTGTGTTGTTTAATTGAAGCACGGCCGTTTCACTTTTTACTATAATCCATTAATTATCAACTTCCACCTTGTTAATAACTTATCTTCAACTTTTCTATAAATGAAATGAGAGTGCAACATACGGGATCGATTCTAAAATGTACTGTTATAACCAGTTTCAAGAAGAGGTGAAGATAGCTGTTAAAGTTTATTCTGTCGTGAAAATGAAAATTATATATACCATATTAGTATTGTTCATTTGAATTTTCCCATCGATGTGTTAGGACTGAAACTGGTCAGTCTCTAATTGGCATATGTGCATATTGCCTCGATATAGCCTTAATTCACAAGCATGGTAAGCAAAGATGGATAGTGGCTAGCAGGTATATCCAGCTGACTGGATTCCACTGCTAGCCACTATCCATTTTTGCTTATATATACATATGTTGTAAACAGTGAATCTTGAGCCTTTTAAATCTGCACTATTAGTCAAAGGAGTCAAGATTTGTAAGTGTATACTTCTTGAATAGGACTTGAGTTAAACGAATACCAAATTAAAATTACACTAGTCCAGGTGTACTTATTGCTTAATGAGAATTTCAAAATCTTTTTTAACATTTTCATGCCTTCTTTGAATACATTGTTGTTAAGCGCATCTGAATTGGGTTGTACATTTGCTTTGCCTACTATCAGTCTTAAGGATTGTGCCATAGTATCTACTAAATTATGAATAACTATGTTATATATGTATAAAACGGATCGATAAAGTGGATTACATTACTGGACTCAAACAAATGCCTAGCACATTTAAGAAGTCAAAGTAAAGGTGCCAAAGTTTGAATTGTAGAAAGTTGATTACCTGACATAAATTGGCATCCATAAACTCCATCACCAAATAAACATCTTGAAAGTCTTGCAATGTTTGTTGAGGAGTAAATGCGTTTAATAATGATATGATCTAATGTGAAGTGATAAAAATATAGCAATAATAGAGAGATAGGAAACTACAAATATGCAACAGTAAACGCAGTGTATGTACTGTGAGATATTGAAAATATGTACACCTTCCGCTTTTGATATTGTCAACGGATTAAATAGTGACGGTTGTGTAGTAGATTATGATGACTGACAGTTGAGAAGATAGTATTTCCTTTCAACAGAAAAATTTTAGTCCTTAGATAGATTGACAAATAAGCTTTATATATCAAATGAATAGTGACTTAGTCATACACAACGTAAAACCTGATATATGTACTTGGGTTCATGTTGCCATACCTCATTAGAACAGCGAGGTCGTTATTTCAAGACAAATCCCAAAGTGGTAGAAAAGATTAGATAAGGAGAAAGGAAACGTGTACAGGGAGGTTTCTGGACGTTCTAAAAGATAAGGAGTGAATGCACCTGCGCTATTGTGAACGATTCTCAGTCATATCACCCGATTATTTATTTGAACACAAATATTTGTACACAGGAGCACCAAATACATATGCGCTACACAATAACAATGGGAAAAGATAGATGATGTGAAGTGTGTACAAGAAAAAGGAGAAAAATAAAGAACAGAAATTAGCGTATGATAGTGAAATAATAATAATGGGAGAGGCAGTTCGGTTAGCAAAGGTACAACCAGAAAGAATCCTTCCAGTTAAAGAACCCTGAGATGCAAATACATCAAACTGACGAGTCCCAAGTAAGACGGAACGCGTATTTTGGGTCTCACTGCTAGCCGAATTCCATCTATGCTATTTCAAATTTTACAGTTCAGTTGAGTTTCTTCATCCAATAAATAATCCCTCATGTAATCTGATGTATGGTGAAGTTTACTAACCAAATCCGAAAATAATCTATTATCAACTAAGATTAGTTTCTGAACAATAAAACAGATCAACGTGGTTAAACAAAATCACAAGATATTCCACGAAAAACAGAGGTAAAGTGTAAGCGATAAACCTGGCACTGAAAAGAAAACAGAGGACTAACATTTTTGTGATTCACCAGTTTCATCAAGACAAATTCACGATAGGCACGTTTGGCATGTGTAACATTTTGAAAAGGACGAGCCAATTTTTTAATGGCAACATCTTGTTTGAGTACTGAATCATAGGCAGCTCTGTAGGAGAAATCAAACAGAAGATCATGTCAATATAACGGATTTAATGTGACTCATTTGCCAAGTATATATTTATGTGCTCGGTAGCTTTGCAGAACACTCTCGATAGAACGGTTTGTGACAATGATAGTTTGAGCAAACCGAAATAAATGGAGAGGAGTTTGGAAAGTCAAACTATTGATTCAAAACTGAGTGCTCTAATCACTAACCCATCGCTCTATCCATTATTAAATAAGGCGTACACAAAAGCAATGTTTATGTGAGAATTAAAAATAAGACAAAGGGAACAGTTACATAAACTTTAATAAAATAGAAATTATACGGGTGATGTGCGAAAATAGACATTTAAGTAGTTTACGCACTCAGCAGAGAACCAAATCATAGGCAATGTTTTAATGGGTTATTTATGACGCCTTAAAATCCACTGATTTATTTGGGTAGGTCTCAAGTATAACAATGCATTTAAGTCACCTACTAGAAGAATCTAAAGATATACCGAAATGAATGTTTTATCACTTTAAAATAAAAAGATTGGTTTGCTAATTTCTAAAATGACCTGTAAAAAATAATGGGACAACTATCAGAATAAAAAACGCTAACGTTATTGGGTGCGACCACACTGTGCAGATTCTGTGAATCGCGTAAATGAACAACCTCATATGCAGGTAATCTACGTTCAATTCACTTTTTGTAGTCTTTTTTGTACGTATTGTAAACGTTTACACTTAACAAGCGATTGACAATTTCGGTAGTGACAACATAATCAAGGCCCCCAAATGCCCTGGTACAGGAGAAAGTGGGGGGAGTCACATCTACCTCTGGAAATGCTCTTACATGCTCACACGCATACAGTCACTGACAGAGAAGTCCTACTTATTCTTTTCTCGCAGTGCGGACGTTTTTTACGGAATTGAGAAGATGAGAAGCGAATTTCAGGTGCTTTAAGCGGGTTGGTGGATACGAAGGATCCACATAGAGGAGTTGAAAAACCCTGATTCCAAACCAATGGCGTACAACGTCTCCAAGATCCTGAGGAAACATAAGGCGTATGAACTTATTGTTGGTTACCGACTACCATGGTAATGCATCTCCTAGCGTTGCTCCACTGTCTTGTGGATTAGACCTCTAGACTAAAGGCTCCAGGTCAGTCAGTCGGTCAGTTACAACGTAGGACCAGGCACATATATGCATCGGTTCAAGTTGCCATACCTCGTTAGCACAACAAGATCAACACCGGATTCATAGAAGTAGTTAATTTAGCGGTGGTAGTATATAAAGAAAGATTGTATATAAGGACATAGTATAGGAAGGAAAAAAGTTATGAAGCAATTTTAATCTTAAGGTTTAAGGGAAGATAAAGAGTATATACACCTACGCCATTGTGATCGATTCTGAGTCATGTCACCCACAGTCTCCAACCATTGGTTACGATAGTCACGCGGACCCCAATCAGGTAGTCTGTATCTACCAACATGGCTCAGATTAGAAGTTAGTGACTTCAAACACTGATGCCATGTTTTGGTTTGACCGCCCCTAACTCTCTTCCAACCATTCCCAATACTAGTCAGCATAGCGCGTCGTGGTAATCGGTGTTCAGACATACGTAACACGTGGCCCAACCATCTCAGTTGATGAAGATTCATTACCTCATCAACAGATTTACCATCATTCCCTAATACCCTGCGTCTAACCTTGCTATTACTTACCCGGTGATCCCAGCAGATGCGAGCAATATTTCTAAGACAACTGTGGTCAAATACTAATAACTTACAATTATCTTCTATCCTTAATGGCCATGTTTTTCAGCCGTAAAGTAGAACAGAGCGAACTGCTGCGCAGTATACTCGTCCCTTAATTGATAGACGGATGTCTCGTCTTCGCCATAAGTGACGTAAGTTGGCAAAAGCCAAACGAGCTTTTTGAATCCGTGCTCCAGGTGTGGCCCCTTAATAAAACCGCCTGCTGTAGATTGGGTGCCCGGGCAGTATTCCAGCTCTTACACATATCGAATGATGTGTGTGGCGTATATCCATTTGATGCCTTCTTGTACCAATGTTTAAATAAATAAGTAAATAAACGCAACCAGGAATTTTCAAAGTTTAATTTACCAAGCTTCTTTTCTGGTGTCACCAGTTATCATCAGTCTTAGACTGACAAACTAATTTTCGCAAGCATTAAACACACAGACATCAATATACAGCACAACGTGAAAAATGTGCATTAGCACAAAATGCCAAACTATGTCAGAATCATGGGACAAAATACCAAGAACAGAGAAATAAAAACAATGATGAGAATAGAAAGGTATGTATTAAGAAATACGGAAATTCTAGACAGAGGAATATCAAGAGTGAATGTATTCGAGACGTGAATGAGTTTTAGTCATGTCACCCAAAGTTTATAACCACTGACTAAGACAATCACGCTAATCCTAATCAAGCAGCCCCCATCTCCCAACATAGTTCAGACCAATTGCCAATGAATTGGTGGGTTGACGCCGTGTCTTGGTTTGGACGTCCCTAACTATTTTCTAACGTACTCCTACACCAGTAAACAACCATCAGGGTAGTTGGTGGTTAGGCATTTGTAACACGTGTTTTAACCACCTCAATCGATGAAGATTGACAACCTAATTAACAGATTTGCCACGTTTCTTTAGTACCACATCCCTAACCTTAACATTCGCCTCTTCCACGATATATCAGTGATGCTTCAAAGAAGCCTATGATTAGGAACACGTAGGCCACACGCTTCTTATATTCTAGGTTTGAGCTGACAAGTATTACAGAGAGGACTGTTGGGCAGTATACACGCCATGTTCAGCAGATGGAAATCGTACCTACGCCACAGCTAATCATACTCAACGTAGAACCTGACACATGTCAGGCCAAAGGTAACAATAAACTGCCATCTGAATTAATGACATGACTTTCATAAAAGCTGTTTGTTATCCCTTCATTGAATTTCTTCATGCACATGCTTCTAGACGAAAACTCTCAATATAGCGCTGTTATATGAGAATAAGCATAATCACAGACAACCATCAGTACAGTTAATCCCATGTAAAAGCAATATGTACAAATCAAGATCGTGGTACATAAATTCTGTCAACGACACACAATTTTGTTCGTATGGCGAACCAGTTTGAACTCTAAGATGGAAATACTTAGATGGGCTATCTACACAATAAAATAAGTATCTTTTTATGGAACGGATTAGAAAGTGTAGTTACATGAGAAACTACACCCGCAAAACAAAAACAATTTGAGCTCTCAGAACTAAGAAAAAATGCAGCATTCGAACCACAATTTAACTGGCGACTGTTTGTGAGTATTACGAAAAGCAAATGACTGTAGAGAAAGATATGCTTATTATGGTTTAATTTCACTAGCGAACATCAAAGCATGAACATAGTGATCAATTGACCAGATATGTGGACGTAAGAGACAAATCAACAAAGTATTACGGAATGCCTACTGAAAACGGTATCCTGACAACTTAGTTTGAAGGGATGGTTATATGTAGAGAGCAGGGCATAAATATTGGGGAATAGACCTGCAAAGAAAGTGAAGGTTGATCAGTACCGTCGCGTAGAAGGGTTGCAAAGTTTTCACAGATTTGTTTTTCTGATACCACTCGATAAAAAAATGTGGAGCTACTAATAAAATACTACCCATGTGATTGTTGGATGAGGGGACATCACGAATGCCAGTTTGACAAAGATATGCAACAATAATTGAGCCAACAAAAGCTATATGAATGCATAGCCCCTACCGAGTTGCTACTGATTTGCTTTAAAGCCAAATTTCGTGACCTGGTTTATTAACTTTTTTTCTTCAAGCCCTGAAAACCTGAGTGGTACCAAGAATCAGTTTTAATTTCAAATTTACAAGACCTTTTAAGTTTACTAACAAACGTCGTGCTACGAATCTACGGAAATCGCAAAGTCAATTGGTCCAACTGTTCAAGCACAACATAATACTCCGATATTGAATTTAGTTTAAATGGTTAACTTACACAACAAAGCCCTGAGCTCCAGAACCGATGGGCTTTAAGTTAGAGTACCGAAAAGGTACCACAAATCTAGCGTCTCCCACAACTTCGACATGATACCCAGGAGGAATGTTGTTTGCCATTCTTGAGTTTATGTACATAGTCTCTAAAGTTAAGGAGGCTACCTGCCTTACATTGAAAAAAGAGAGAAAGGATCACGCATCATAAGCAGCGCCACCACTCTATCGACCTCCAATAATCAATATATCAGGTACTTGTGATAAGCTTAGATTGACTGTAGTGGTTTATGTTTAGCCAGAAGGTGGTTTGTGCGCTAAGGGAGTATGTAGAATAGCGTGAGTGGGAAGAGTTGAAAAAGGAAGATAGAAGAAAAGGGATGCGGAATACCAGTAGGTGAATAAAATTTCACGTATTTCACGTAGGGCTACTGTTCCTGGACGATAACGATGTGGTTTTTTAACACCACTTGTAGCTGGTGCACTCTTACGCGCAGCTTTAGTAGCCAGTTGCTTCATTGGAGCCTTCGCACCTGTACTTTTGCGAGAAGTCTGTTTCGTGCGTGCCATGACTGTGAACAAAATGCATTTACATGGTGTGAAGAAAACAATAGACAACAATCAGCAATAATACATGCTTGAATTTGAAAGTAAAAGCGGATAGCTTGACTCGTTACAAAACTGGCTGGTTTTTTTGCCCTCAATTTTCGCTGTTTCAGTACAGTTTCAGGTCTTCGGTACCGATCACTATGCCACAGTCTAGTCATTCGACTTCCCCAGTTCAAGACGGTTTGTTAGTTATTTCCGGGTTTTGTATCCTGTGACTCAAGTGGATGCATTCGCCTTAGAATAAACGAGTTTCTGAGACTACTAGCTATCTCATTACAAGTCAGCAGGCTGGCTGACTGTAATGTTCAATGTAGTGGGCCATATATATATATATATATATATATATATATATATATATATATATATATAGTACAGAAAAATTTGAATACAGAAGAGCTAAGAGGGAAAGACCGAAGAACTTAAAGGAATGACTGGTTGGTCAGCAATACAGACAGTGTAAGTAGACAGAGGTGTAAGAGTAACAGGTAAGAGGCGAGTTTGGAACGAGCCGATGGTATTCGTTAATAACGACATATATATTAAGTACATCCAGTTGAAGAGGTATGTGATGAGTGCGTAACCGTTTCTTCAGTCTCCTCTTGAAGTTCTCTTCTTGGGTTGCTTTGCTTACATCGTCTGCAAGAGCATTGTACATCCGAGCAACTTTTGATAAGAAATTGTGAAGTTATGCTAGGGTTCCTTCTCATTCATGTGCAATTCTTTAAGGATTACCTCGCAGGGCGCTATGATGAGCTCCTAGTAGATTGCTTGTATTCCGGCGAGTTGAAGAATTTAATATGTTGGGTCCTGTAATCAGATCGCCTGTTATTCACTTATAGCTTAGAGGGAACAATTTGGTCGTTAAGCCGTCCTACCATTACTTTCTATGGCGGTAGGAGTAATGCGACATATCTGTAGTAAATGAGGGCTTTTCTGAGCACTTCTTTGAAGGTTGGAGAAATAGTGGCATGTTAACATTTATTTGGAAGTTGTAGCCATTTTACTGCGTTTGTCCGCCCAACTTTGGAACGCACTCAGATTCTCCTGAGTGATCACCATATATTTCCATTAACTCTCTTCAAAGCTACAAATTGAACTTCTGCTCTGCCTACAGCCGTTCCTGGCCGATTCAAGGAAATTATTAATGAGGAATTGGGTATTGGAAACATTACAACGGTATGTGACTTACTCAGGCGCTCAGTAAAATGACCACAACTTCCAAATAAATGTTAACATGCCATTGTTTCTCTAACATTCAAAGAAGTACTCAGAAAAGTCCTCACTTACTAAAGATATGTCGCATTACTCCTATCGCTATAGAAAGTAATGGTAGGACAGCTTAACTACCAAATGACAATCTATGAATGTAGATAACACCCTCCACGTGGCCTAATACAGGCATTGAAGAAGGAAGTCGTGAGAATAAAAAATTCTTCCGGTATGGGGCAGGCGGATAGCTTTCTGGGATCGAAAGATACCAATCCATGTAACATTCCTCCACTTCTGGAAGGCGTTTGACACGATGAACCGTCCTTTAATTTCGTCTGCAGCATATAGGCTTGATAATAAGCCATATCCACTTCAAATCTGAACAGTATGAATACCAAGTAAAGTGGAGCAATAGGGGACGTGAGCGAACTTGAAGGGCTTCAGGACTAGCTTGTAGGATTAAAGTCGACTTCTGTATTAATACATTTATCTTTGCCACTGTAAGAATAGACTTAGTTCCAAAGTTGTAGACTTCTTATGATGTGACCATCTAATTTACGAGATCATATGTGGAAGTCACGTCATTGTGTATACTGATGTGTCCTATGGTGATAACCAGCAATGAGATGTTTTGTGCTACTGAAGGACACATTGAGGCTGGAATAGAGTAACATTCATAATGTTAAAAGGTATGAGTTACACAAAATAAACATGTCTGCAAGTCTGAGTAATGCCATACTTATCAACTGCTCCCGCGTCATCATTTCTGACCTTCTCTCCATGTTAAGCGTTAGATATGAATCTTGTGTTATCTTGTGTTGGACTTCGAGAATAGTGTGGTTGAAAACCAATAGCACTGTAAATTTCATGAGTCCTTTCAATGTAAATAGAAGGGGTGTAATGCTATCGTATTAAGGAAAGCTTTAGTTACTTATTAAGACAACAAAAACTACTGTGTGTACATTCAACTTCAATGGACATTTACTTTCGACTGACTGACCGGAGCGGCAAGTAAAAATATTTTAAATTGATGGCAGAAACATTTAAATTGAATTAATAGCAACTGGTAAAGTTCGTGATGTACGACATTTTTGAACGTAGACACAAGTATTTGGGCATAAGAGTAATCTGGCGTCATTTCGGGGGAGTACAACCATCTAAAGTAGTCTCTAGTCAACGTTCTTAAAAGCATCGTTCTAAACTAAGAAGACTGGCATAAATATCTAGTCTATTCAAAGTTAAATATATCTAAAGAAGGTATTTATTACGTCAAATTCTCAAGGCATCAAAGTCTTACCATTGAAAAGAGCTGGATAAAATGGCTTATAATTCATGAGGTTTGGATGCTACGCATGGTCTAATTCTTTCCACTTTGAGCAAAAGCATCATATTTTGTAGCTTCTTAAGTCCGAGTTTAAGCTGTAGCTTGGGATACAATAAATAAGTCCAGGTGTAGCTTGACTATATATCTCATATATATTTATTGAACAATGATGTTTAGCTGGAAACACTGTTTGTGGCTTAAAGAAACTTGATGGCAGTCGAAATTAAATGACGCGAAGTTTTAATGGCCTAGTTAATCATAATTTTAAGGCTTCATGCAAAGCTCTTGTTCAGATAAATGTTTGGCTGTTGTACGCATGACGAACCCCTTCCCAAAACAAAGTTTCTGGTACTCTTAATAATTTCTGTACTCACAACACGTCACGAAAAATAGACCTATGCAAGGAAAGCATGTGTAATGTTTCATCAGCAAGACTACAAATTGTACATACAATGAATTTTAGGCAAGTCTTGTGCATCTTAAAAGTGTTGTAAGATGTTTAGGGACTGTATTTTAGTTTTTTGAAGAGAATGATCAGTGAGTTATGATATTTGGAAGTTCTTACTTCAAACATAGGTGATTTAACCGTAGCCAGAATTTCTGGACAAAGTAGACTGAGACCGGACAAAAAATTTCTTCTGAACAACTACACGATCAGACATTAAATAGGAATAATATATTTGTGAAATCTCAGCGAATGAATTCGAAGTAAATCCAACGTTTCGCCTTGTCCGAGCTTTTTCAAGGAATTATAAACTACACAATCAGTTGATTACATGTCGTCAAATGTGTTAATTTCCCTTTATTGGCCGACTCAACCTGCACTTTGAAACTGATTTTCTGTATCATGTGTGAGAAGTTTGGATTGCGGTTGAAAGAGTTGCTGTGTAACCACCTGAAATAAGGTACCGATACTCAGGTAAGTTTATTGAGAATGTAGTGCTTTGTGCATTTACCACTTGATGTTTATATGTTTAACATCAAGTATTCTCTTTTCAGGTAGGTTATCATGACACGCAAGCGATCTAGAAGCTCAGTGGTTATAGCGTTAAAGAATGCAATTATATAAAACTTGTAGCCATCCACAATCGATTCTGGGTAATTACTCTGTATTGAGCAGTCTCATTACCCGGAATTCATCCGATAAGGGGATTTATACAAACATTTATCCAGATCTGAGTCTGATCCCAAAACAGTCACTAAATTTAAGCCGATTGACTGGTAAAATTTTCTAATTTTCCAAGGTGAAATGCATAAATGTTAACCGAACCTAGGTTTTTTGCTCACAACTACAGAAAATCCCCGAAATTGGCTGATAATCTGAACAGAAATGTATTTTCCTCGTAATCACAGATTAGAAAAAGCTCAATTGTTAACTAGTTGCCCCAGTTATATTCAGCACTCGCTCAAAATGCATTTCGGGTTGGTACTATATTCCATGAATGAATCCGCAGAATTGTGTTATAACTTGTAGCCGGGTGGATGCGCTGTTAGTGTATGGCGTGATAATACGTCCAATAAGAGAGCAGTGATTTATTGATAGGACCAATGTCACACGAAACCCGTACCAGCGGTCTGAAGTACTTGTCGGCCCTGCTACTGACTAACCTAACTATTTGAGTCCAGAACACTATTATCAGCCTCTGCAGCATGAATATGAATTCATATATATTCCAAACATATCGGGCTTATACACCAATCAAACTGACCACATTGTAACACAAAATAGAAAATAATATTTGTACAAGATTTAGCCAGAAGTGGTTGTGAATGTGGGAGATAGTAATTGATAGACTGGATATAACTCAATGATGGTAAATCGTATAATAATATTTCATAGGTCAAAACAAAGCTTATAATAAGAGGGACACAAATATGAATAGTTTAGTTACTTAACAATTATACAATAGGAAATAAACATATCATATTGGTCCATAATAACTCCTCAAAAATTACCATTCATAATTCTCTTCGGGATGCAACAAACAAAGATAAACAAGTTCCGGTATCTTTGTCAAAAGCCTCTATAAACCAAACGATTTCCTTACACTCGCTTCGAGGTTTTTCAGCAGGTCTCCAGATATTTGGTAATGTTCAGTCGG